GATCCATCCACGACGGCATCTTCCTGGTCAGAGACCTCATCGCGATGTCCCAGAGGTTGGGCATCCCAATCGCGTTTCTGGCCCTTGACCAGGAAAAGGCTTTTGACAGAGTGGACCACAAATACCTCCTGGGAACCCTCAAGGCCTTTGGTTTTGGAGATGGGTTTGTCCGAACGATCCGCCTACTCTACACCAAGGCGGAGTGCATGATCAAGATCAACGGCACCCTCACTGCCCCTGTCAAATTCGACCGAGGAGTGAGGCAGGGATGCCCATTGTCGGGCCAACTTTATGCACTGGCATTAGAGCCTTTCCTGAATCTCATAAGGCGGAGACTCAGCGGCCTGGTGCTCAGGGAACCAAATGTCAGTTTGGTCCTGACGGCATACGCCGATGACATCCTCCTCATCCTTCGTTCCCTGGATGATGTCGCCCTGCTGCACGAGTGTCAGGAGGTCTTTTCGAAGGCCTCCTCATCCAAAATGAACTGGCAAAAGTGCAGCGGCCTGCTGGTTGGAGCGTGGGACATGACCGAGTGTCCGGAGAAGGCAAAAACCATCAATTGGAGCACGACATCCCTGCACCACCTGGGGGTCTTCCTGGGACCAGAGGAGGAACCACCGCAAAGGAACTGGGTCGAGCTGGAGGGGAAGGTGAAGGAGCGGCTGGGCACCTGGAGTCGCCTGTGCAAGTTCCTCACCTTCAGGACAAAGACGTTGGTGGTGAACCAGCTGGTGACGTCCATGCTGTGGCACCGACTCTTCTCCCTGCACCCCCCCATGAGCCTCGTCAACGCGCTTCAGAAGCGAGTCCTCGACTTCTTCTGGTCGGGCAGAGGACACCGGGTCGCGGCTGGGGTCCTGGCCCTGCCACTGGACGAGGGCGGTCACGGGCTGGTGTGCGTGCGGAGTCAGCTGGCCACCTTCCGACTGCAGGCCGCACAAAAGTTCCTGCACGCCACCACCCCTGCACCAGCCTGGAGCGTCACGGCCTCCTTCCTACTCAAACAGCTGGGGGGTCTGCAGTGCTCCAAACAACTATTCTACATGGACCTGCAGGGCCTCCCACTGGGACAGCTGCCACCTTTCTACAGGAGCGTCCTGCAGACGTGGAGCTCCCTCGCCGTCAGGAGGCTGAACCAGCCGCAATCGGCCGAGGATCTGGTCTTCGAACCGATCTTCAGGAACCCGCAGACAAAGCTGCCGTCCACCACCGCCACCCCCGGCATGGAGAGGCGCCTCACCAACGCGCGGCTCACCAGGATGGGAGATCTGGTGGAGCCTGGAACACGGGGCCGGTGGCTCGGACCAGCAGACATGGCCGCAAAGACAGGGCTGCAATCGCTCCGGGTGGCTGCCCGGATCCTGGCCGAAGCCAAGGTGGCCTTCTCAGCGGCAGCGGGGAGAACGCCCCCCATCGGCGTTGGGGATGACGAGGCCCCTCTCGGTCCCCCTCCACCGGAGCTCTCCGTCGTGCCACTGCGTCGCCAATGCCGACAAGCGAAGGCGGATCACAACCTGTGCCGGCTGGAGGACCTACCAGAGGTGGCCTTCGCAAATGTCAAGAGGAAGGTGCTCTACTCCTACATGGTCCGGTTTCACCAACAGGACACCCTGAGGAGCCATAAGGACCATGCCTGGAGGAAAGCCCTGCCCTGCATCTCTCCGGAGAGGCCTCGCTGGAGGCAACTCTACTCCAGCCCGACGTACAACCGCATCGGCGACCTCAGCTGGAGCATCGCCCACGGCACCGTCACCACCAACGCCTCCCTGGCGCGCTTCACTGACACGCCCCCGGAGTGCCGGTTCTGCGGAAAAGTGGAGACGGTGGCGCACCAATACGTGGAGTGCAAGAGCCTGGACTCGCTGTTCAAGGTCCTGAGAAACATCCTCCTAAAGTTCAGCCTCCACTTCTCCCCGACGGTCCTCATCTTTGGATACCGAAAGGGCGACGGACCCCAACATCTCCAGGGGCTGGTCAACGTGCTCGTCGGCTACGCCAAGCTCGCCATATACAGGGCGAGGAAGGTGGCCCTGGAGGGGAAACGTCCGGCCAGCAGCCTGGGCATCTTCCGCGCTCTGGTCGGAGCCAGGGTGTGGCTGGAGTTCCGCCACGCGCGGCTGACCCACGCCGTGCCGGCCTTCAAGGAGCAGTGGGCGATGGAGGAGGCCGTGTGCTCCGTGGCAGATGACGGGGAGCTCTGCATGCTGTTATGAGCTACCCGTCGGAGGCCATAGGACTGCGAGGGGGGCGGCGTAAATAACGAGAGAGTGAGCGAGAGAATGAGCGAGAGAGAGAGCGAGTGAGAGAGAGCGAGAGAGCGAGCAAGCGAGAGAGTGAGCGAGAGAGCGAGCGAGAGAGCGAGCGAGAGAGCGAGTGAGCGAGAGAGCGAGCGAGCGAGGGCAACATAAAGCCCCGTTTAAAAAAAAAAAAAAAAAAAAAAAATTACGAAATGATGACCGAAACAAAGTGCCGAATACACCGAGCATCTTCTTGTTTCCACTGATCGTAACAAAAAAAAAAAAAAAAAAAAAAAAAAAAGGAGGGGAGGGGCGTGATGGAGGGGGAGAGGTCAGGAGGGGAGGGGCGTGATGGAAGGGATGAGGTCAGGAGGGGAGGGGCGTGATGGAGGGGGTGAGGTCAGGAGGGGAGGGGCGTGATGGAGGGGATGAGGTCAGGAGGGGAGGGGCGTGATGGAGGGGGTGAGGTCAGGAGGGGAGGGGCGTGATGGAGGGGGTGAGGTCAGGAGGGGAGGGGCGTGATGGAGGGGATGAGGTCAGGAGGGGAGGGGCGTGATGGAGGGGGTGAGGTCAGGAGGGGAGGGGCGTGATGGAGGGGATGAGGTCAGGAGGGGAGGGGCGTGATGGAGGGGGTGAGGTCAGGAGGGGAGGGGCGTGATGGAGGGGGTGAGGTCAGGAGGGGAGGGGCGTGATGGAGGGGGAGAGGTCAGGAGGGGAGGGGCGTGATGGAGGGGGAGAGGTCAGGAGGGGAGGGGCGTGATGGAGGGGATGAGGTCAGGAGGGGAGGGGCGTGATGGAGGGGGAGAGGTCAGGAGGGGAGGGGCGTGATGGAGGGGATGAGGTCATGAGGGGAGGGGCGTGATGGAGGGGGTGAGGTCAGGAGGGGAGGGGCGTGATAAAGGGGGAGAGGTCAGGAGGGGAGGGGCGTGATGGAGGGGGCGATGGGAGGGGTGATGGGAGGGAACGAGGGCAAGCGGAGGGGAGGGGCGAAGGGAGGGGGAGGGGCGAAGGGAGGGGGGAGGGGAAAAGAGAGGGGGGGCGAAGGGAGGGGGGAGGGGAAAAGAAAGGGGGAGGGGCTAAGAGAGGGGGGAGGGGAAAAGAGAGGGGGGAGGGGCGAAGGGAGGGGGGAGGTCAGGGGGCGACGGGCAGGAGGTGGGAGGGTGCGGGGCAGGCCACCGCGTGGAATGTGCCAGTCGAGTCCCCCACTCCACGTGTTCCACTGCTGGATGATGGCGTGTGCTCTAAACGAGCCTGACTGTTGACGAGACACTTCGTGGTGAAAGTGGTCCAGAGTTTGCTGGTCACAAATCAATGCTGCTGAAATGATTCACTGCCAGAAGGCCATTTGGGGTTGTGTTAGAATCATTTATTTTTGTATGCGGAGAGACCGATATATGAAGTAGATAATTTAGTTTGCTAAGCGAGCTTGGATCATCGACCTGCGGCGACACGAAAGAGGAGAGGCGAAAAGGAAATGTGTACTGATAAATATTTCCACATGTATTGCGTAAATGGTACCGCTCGTTTGTTAATACACTGCTAGATGAGGACCTTGCCTGTGCAGGGCCGAGCGACCATACTTAACCACGTAGGACAATACGGGTTTTGTGAAGATAAATACAGTAATCATGAGCCATTTGGCAATCCACTGCTGTGTCGGCCATGGAGATTGACCATTCCTAGCCACACCAGTCAATGGGGATTGTTGGTGAGAGATTCAAGGCGATAATTCCCACGGACAGGACTGATCTAGTTTAGAACGTGAAATGTTACAACTTTCATTCTCGCATACGACGTAAGTTCAGAACAAAGACCACTCGCCAATCCCCTGGCGAACATTCTGCCACCAAATATCATCAGAGACGTGCAAACTGCAAGTGAGTTTATATTTTTTGCCAACAAAAACCTACACATCATCAACCAAGAACTCAAAAAGTGTTGTTCCTCGCCGCCATCCCATGTCCCCATCTCTATTCTGGGAACGCCGGCGAACATCGTGGACAAAGCGGACGTCCAGAATAAAACACATTAATTCAAGAGCCAATTATCGAAACCTTTCTTTTGACGATTCTTCTCGAAGACACCGGTGGTGTTTTATCGTTAACCGCATCTGGACATCAAACAGGCCGAACACACAACATCTCCTTCATTGATGGAAAATGTAAAAATCCAAGCCACATTTGTGCGATTGTGGCCATGCAACACAAAGTATGTAATCTGTGCGCTCATTCAACGGAAGGAATACCGAATACCAAGGAAAATCCCACCAACTCTCGATATCCCCCTCGTCCTGCCTGCCAGATCTCGATACTTGCCAATTATCCCCCGAACACATCTCTGACAACCACAACACGCGAAAAATTAGACTCCCCAATAAGATGTACACCAGCGCAGGGGGCAAGGAATCTAAACCCCAGGTTTGGTGCTTTTTCTGCAATATTTTTCTGTCTTTTCTTGGATTTTCTGTTTGCACATAGTCACTTTAAGATGTTTTCTTGTTCATGTTTTTGTTTGTTGTAGTTGCACCCGATTCAAGAGCCGAATGGCTCACAGGGCAATACCAAATAAATGAAACTTGAGGTTCGTGGCGTCAACCGGTTCACCAAAAACCAGCCTCCGGGCGTGTTTAAGAGCCCACTGGGCTACATATTTGAAGAGTTTTTTATACGTTAACGCCCTTATTTGAATACGAATGAGAGAGGGGGAGGAAGAGGAGGCGCTTCGTTGCCACCGTCACCGCCGGGCCCTGCGTCATCGAGCTCACATGATCGCCCCCTCCTCCCCACCTCCACACTCGGCCTCCTCCTCCTCCTCCATCAGCTGTTAAGATCGCCGGCGAGATCGACACCGTGCTGCTCCTTCTTCTTCTTCTTCATCATCACAATCTGTTGTTATTAACGGCGGTGGTCATCGTCATCGGTTGTTGTTTTTGTTGTGTGTGTGTGTGAGATAGCATAGAGATGAGCAAATGGGTCAAAATCGTCCGAGTGGCGTGCGACGTGGGACTGCGACCCCGCGCAGGAATTCGGTGAGGATTGCATCGATTGCTCGCTCACTCGTCGGGATTTGATGGGGGAAACTGTGGTGATGGTGGTGGTGGTGTTCGTGTTGGATGTGGGGTGTGTTGGATATGTGTTGGATGGTGTGGCCCATGGTTTGTCGGTGTTGGTGGCGGGTGAGCGTGGTGAGAGTAAGCCCGCGAAGAGATCGTTGGGGGTGGGGAAAAAATGTGGCTTCGACCGTAGCTCGCATTGTTCACGATCGTATAGATCATTTATTTATTTTACATAAAATGCGTCGGTGCAAATCGGAAGCTTAACCCGCGATAATCGTCGGTGTACGCGTTTTAAACGATGATTTTCCGGCCGTGTGCCGTTCTTGCCTTTGTGGCACTTTTTTTTATTTCCCACTTTGTACGTGGGATTTTCTGTGGAGTGTGCCGAAATAATGTGGTAGATGGCGCCACTTTTCACTGGACCTCCATCCCGGGTGGCCTCTTATATAATGGCTTTGGGAGGCTCGTGGAGCCACACTAAAACAAGGCAACGAAGCAGACTATTTTATAGCAGCAGCCACGTCCAACATTGCCACCACTAACAATACTTGGAGCGGTTGATGGGAATGCATCGAGCGCCTTGGTTTATTTTGATAAAACAAATTAAGTTTGAGTTTATTGCTGGGAACATGGCCATAATTAATCCACAGCTGGATGAAGGCCTCCCCGTGGTGTCTGCCATCTCTCACAGTCATGTAATGTAACAAGCCACCCGCAAAAGAGCTGATATTCAGGTCTTCTTGAAAACCATACATTTCATTGTTTTCATTAACATCATTGAATAATTTTTTTAAGTGGAAATTACACATGTACTTGTTCGTATTAACATCGTGAAGAAATGCAAAAATCTTAAGTAACTGCTATGCGAAATAACAGCTAGTGTGTTGGCTATAGAAGTATTTGGGGACATCAGGTTTGTTGAGACAAAGCCTTGTCCAGAAGAAAGACGGGGGAGGGGCACGTCTTCATTTATTATTTACTTACCAGGAAATTCTGTGACCTAATGTTAAAAGTTAGCACCACTGTTACATACAAGGCGTGCCACACATACCTTTTGCGACAAACCCAACCTCGAAGGCACTGTAGTGAAATATTTTCGATTAACAATGTGAGAACATGTTCTTCATGTCAGGTGGATATATACAGCTTCAATCACTTAACTATCAACGTTTATCTTATGGAAATACTGTAGTATTACAGTGGTAGGTAACGCTTTGGTATTATCATCAGAATTTGACCATAGTTTATGTATTTTATTGTTTTAAATATATTAGTTTCCAAGAATTTATAAGCGACTGAAATTATAATGTAGCTTATAACATAAACCTAAATGCGCCGAATCCAAAAACAATACTTTAGTGAAAACCATTTAATTTGAAATAAAAACTTTTAGTGCTTTGCGGTGGAGGGAAATTCATGACAATTGACTCACCATTTTCAAAAAGCCTTTTTGTGAAGAAACTGCTGCATGAGGCTCTTCCAATATAGTATGTGGGTTGTGGGGGTTATTTTATCGTATGGTTCTTAACATTCATAAAATGTGTGGAAGGACCGCAGCACTGACAATCTGTATGAATGTGTGTCTGACAGGTACCTACACTCGTGTGGCATTTTAATGGTGAGCCATCCTGGCCAGGGTTCGCCCTCATTGAGCCCTGTCTTGATGCGCAAAACGAACATTTGTCCGGTGCTGAGCCCCGTCCCCGCGCGGACCTTTCTGTCCAAGCTACCTTTTGGTGACAAACGCAAGGACTACGCTGAGAGGCATCTCGTAGGGTAAGGATCTGTGTTTATTTTACTTCATCACAGTTCCTGGAGATGGAAAAATTTCGGAGTGAAGCTAGAGTTTAGATTATGTAAATGTTTTGGGGACAATTAAAATTGAGACTCCAAATAAGTATTTTTGGGCACAGCTTAGTTTAGTTGACCCTGTAGGATCTGATATGTCTGGCAATTAATTGTTTGTCCTCTGACTTTATCACTGTTGAAGGCCGGCTGGCTTAAGCTGCATCCAGTTTATTGACTGTTGTGTTACTAAGGGCAAGGTGAGCATGTGGAGGAAAACAGATAACATGTAATCCACTCAAGTATTACATTGTCCATTATATATTTGTTGAGCCCGTGTTTAAACTGATTATATACTTTTGTGTGGGTACACTTGCAGATATTCCAAGGAGCAGATGTATGCAATTGTTTCCAACGTTGAATCCTACCGCGAGTTTGTGCCATGGTGCAAGCGGTCGCGTGTGACGTTCCGACGACCCGGGTTCATGCGTGCAGAGCTCCAGGTGGGCTTTCCACCCCTTGTGGAAAGCTACTCTTCCACTGTGACGCTGGTGGAGCCACATATTGTGCGGGTATGGTCTTGTTTAATTCTTGTTACTAAGACCATGCACAACCACCTCTTTGATGAAGCCAGTATTTGTATTAACCTACTCCCCCTGATTTTAACATTTCTCACCACTGTCTCACCATGCTCAGGCCACGTGCACAGATGGAAGACTGTTCAATCATCTGGAGACGGAGTGGCGATTTGGACGTGGAGCACCAGGCCATCCTGAGTCGTGTACAATTGAATTTTCGGTATGTTTATTTGAATCCAATAACTACTACCAAAATGTGGCTTGGCATTGGATATTAGTGGAAAACTGCAAATTTTATGAACGTAAATATTGAATGCATAGTGGTGTATAATACTGTTTTCACACTGTAAAAGATTAATGTTATTATTGTCCATTTTAAATGGCAAAATTTTCTTTCTGCAGAATGGTTTACTGAAGAGGTGTTTCTGGCCCTGTATTCTTAATTAACTTGACTTTTTTTTGTCAATTCAGATCTCCTTTGAGTTCCGCTCATTGCTTCACTCCCAGATGGCCTCGATGTTTTTCGATGAAGTGGTAAAGCAAATGGTGACAGCATTCCTGCGTCGGGCTGCCAAGATGTATGGGCCACAGAGAGGGCTTCCATCGGGATTCGTTATGGACTCGGTGCATCAGCCCTGATTGTAGAAGGGTTGGGTGTGAGGACAGTTCCATGATGGCAAAATAGGTCGCTGTGAGGCTGCTGTTTATGACATTAAATATACTTGATGGGTGCAATATAAGCAACGAACTAAGCAAACATTCAACTCTTGTTCCATACCTGTTTTTAGTTTTTCAGAAGTCGCCCGACAAACTGTTTTTTTTCTTTCCCAGAGGCGTTTTTGTTAGAGGTCATCGTTGAGAGAAGTAAAAGTGTACTGTGACATTTTCAATGCATATGCAATTTTAGATTTCTCATTTTAAGGTATCACTGATTTAGGTGTAGAGTCTGCAAAAAGTGACCATTAGTTTATTGTCATGTAACTGGCCTAAATAGAGGGCATTATCTTTTCTAACGAGTGCTGTCCATATTTTTACTGTCATGTGATCAGGGATAAACTTATCTTGAATTAAGAATGAAGCTCACCACATTTTCGTTAACTTTAAAAAAATTACATCGAATACATTTACCAATGTTGCAGTATTATGACAAAGCATGGTTGAAAAAACATTTGAATATATTCCAATTTTATCAATGCTACACAATGCAGAGTTAAATTTTGTTTTATAAAATATACCTTTTATTTTGTGGATGTTTTTAAAAAGTCCATTGAAGTAAAAACCGGGATAAGGTTTCTGTTTAAACATTTACTTTAATACTTTGAATTCCCATACGTAAATCCTCATTAGCTACTAACAGTCGTTAATTCTGCCATATGACTGCATGGCAGGACGGAGTTTAATAACACAGTATTTTAACTTTCCCGTGTTGTGGCCAGTTTGGTCAGACCGGTCCAATTTAGATAAAAAAAAAGCCAAATGTTGAGCTTTTAAAAAGGGATTTTTTTTTCTAGTATCTTCGGGTGATAGTATTTTTTGCATGAATGTGTGACGTGAAATTAAGCTGATAAAAAGAAACTCCAATGCCATCTGATGTTCATCTGAAATGTTGGCATGAATGGTGCTGCTAGCAATTGCATACAATCTTAAAACCTGTTTGTGTTATCTCATGATTGGGAAAAGGTCGTTCATCCTTTTTAAATAGGTCATTGGCAGTTTTAGTTTTTATATTTATTAGTTTTTATTTAACAACGGTTAATGTGCCTTTTTGTAAAATGCAACAATGTGCAAGTATTTATTTGTTAATTTATACTGCTGGTAGTTGCTAACCAGTTATGTAAACCGCTGGTATCCAGTGTTTACGTTTTCATTTTCCCATAGATGTTGCACACTACAGGGTTATGTTGTTTAGAAGCAGTATATGTTCTGTTAATATGGCACATTGCGTTTTTCCCTTTCATTTTTGTGGTGATTTAAAAAAAAAACATTTTAAATAAAAATTGTAAATAAAAGATTTTTTAACAAAACTGTGTTCTTGATATACTTCAAATTGTATTGTGTAGCAAGAGGCACCTGATACTCAACATGTGAACTCCCCGATGGAATACTGTGACTATTAAACATTTTTTGGTGATGCTGTGTTAGCAGTGGTGCACGGTTAACACAAAAATAACATACATCAATAACTGCCTTAAAAGGGAAAATATGTAATAGGCAATCCATAAGAGGTTTTTGGGTTTGCGTAAATATAAATGTGTCGTTAAACCTGCCACCAGCCGACAGCCAATTCGTAAGGTTTGTCACATGCCAATTTGTTAGGCACACCGGTATGTTGGAGAGTAAAACCCACAACATTTACAATTACAGTACCTACTATAATCACCCAGAAATATTAGACCTTTGCCAGTACCAAAATATAATAATAGGGTTTTCCCCCTTTTTTCTGGCAACAAAACTGAAACCTTTTTTTACAATGATTCATGTCTGCATTAACCACAATACTTGCAGTCAAAATGCAAACAAAAAACATAATATATGCATTGTCCTTAAAGCTGATTGGTCCACACCAGATACAGCTTTCTTCTGAGCCTCGTCTCAATTGGTGCTAGACCAGATGGCGCCTTTTGGCGTCTTTTATAAGCACAAAGGCACAATCCACTTAATGCGTTCATGGGCATAATTTACTATATTCTACGTACTGTATGTGTAATCATGTCTATCCCTCAAACTGCATTATCTTAGCCTGCCATTGCAGTGGGATTTGGCATTCCAAGATCCCCAAAAGCTCCCAGAGGCGTTCCAGTTTCTATGTTGACACAAGTCCAAATGGACAGAAGCTTAAAGTATTTGTTCCAAGCCTCTACAAATAGAACCGCAAACATGGAATGTCACACGAGTGACTACATCTCACGAAACGATTATTTCGTCACCTTTAAGTACAGTTTGGAAAGCCTGCTCGAGTGAGGATCTTTAAATAAAAAAAAGTTTAAATTGATCTTCTGAAGGGATTTCAGATATAACCCCTAAATATTACATGTAGATTGGAATCGCTTCCAGCAGAAGCTTTGGCTTGGGTATCACGTATGCGAAAAATAAACACCAGACTGCTTAATCACTGACACTGCACTTTACAATTATAATTGTTAAACCTACATTAGTGTGAATGTACTGTACTTATTTCAGGCTCGCCAATTGTATACCATTAAACTAGTTAAATTATTTAGTCGTGGTGCACAAACACAAATGAACAAAAACATATTCGTCAATGTTTTTTTTCAACTAATTGGCTTGCTCTATAACTCAACACGAGAATGCGGCTGGATGAGCCAGGGGTCACCAGGGGGACGCGGCAGTGATTGATTTCACTCTCTTAATGCTACATTCTCACAAATAGACTGGTTTCGTAGCTATAGACTGTAACACCAAAAAGCTAATTTCTGTGAACTTTCCCAAACGGTTCGATCAAAACTGATACAATGGAAACTATACAATTATGTATTGTTCAAAAGTTATTCGCAGCAAACAATGACCCAGTTAGTTCCGACCAAGACTGGTGCCTGGTTGGGGGTTAATTTTTGTAATAATTGACCACCGTTTCTAAATATCACGCGTGCACACCACTTTGTCATCCTACGAAGAAGAAATCAAAGACAAAGCTTAAAGAATTGTAAATCAAAAGTATAACCAATTACAAATTAGGCAATTAATCACCTTTTTTAGAACTAGATTACTAAGTGGCATTGTCTATTGTGCAATGCCACTTCGTACAAAATCTGAAACGGTACCACATTTAACCAACACAATGACTGCAGCTTAAACGGAAGGAATTTAAACTGGGAGTAGTCAGCTATCGACAAATGAGAACAATAGTCTCAGACATATTTTTATAAGCAACACATGTGACAATTGCTTTGCAAGCACCACAAACAGATTAATTCGAAGACAGCTTAAATCAGAGCTAATGGCAGAAAATCATAAGTTAGGCAATCGCAATTTTAAAACGGGATTACTCCGTTACACTGTCTTGTGAAATAGATGTACAGGATTTGAATCGGTTTCACATTTTACCAGCAACTGCAGCTTAAACAGAATTAAGAGTTAGTTGTGGAGTGGATAGCTATGGGCACTTTGGACAGTAGCCACATCAGGAAAGTGCCAAACATTACTGCAGCACAATTACACAAATCGCATACAGTGTGTTTATTTTTTTAAAGGGAACATACAAAAAGCACACACAAGGTTACATTGTTAGTAATATTTTATTTCTTACAGTGAAATGCTGCTGTGGAAAAAAATCTTACAAAGACAGATTCAATAATCACAACAATTAAACAAATTCACAGTGGCACAGCGAAATTTAAGCTCACACTTAACACAGCCAAGTGTCATTACTGTCTCAGTTGTGGGCGTTACACTTTTACATTCTATTTAAATTTACATCTTAATCAATGTCTTCACAACCGCATTGCTATGCAAATGAAACGTCTCAGCAGGAACGTTAAGACTGTAAAGGGAATAATGTTTTCTTCTCTTGAGCTTGCGGGAGCATGTGGCCCACATGACTTGTTGAACCAGCCCGACCCACCTCAGTCGTTCCCGCATTCTAAACTACGGTACACACCACTGATCCCATTTATTCATAAGCTGCACTGGCAGGAACTCGCAGTGCCCTTTGTGGCCATTGTGGTGAGGTTTGCAAAGCTACACAATGAAATCACGGGAGGGAACTCAACAGTTGGCAGATCACCAGGCACTATTTAACCGATTTCCACCCACACGCATGGCAAATTACGTACACCATTCTAGTGAAGGATAAGTATTATGTTTTCAATACAGCATTGTCCTCCATTAAGTAGAAATGTTTGCTATGAAATATAAACTTAGATCCTCAAACAAAACATACAATCCCAAGCCGTGGATTTAATGATAAACACGACCAGAGCAGAGGACGTCACTATTAATTGCCACTCAATTCAAAGAAAAGTATCCATCGACATTTCTAAGATGTTTTTTAAATTATACCGTACTTAAAATAATTAATATACATCACTCACGCAGAGTAATGTTTACTACGTGAAGTGATGGGCACATTTTAAAATGTTGCGTTGCATTGTCCAAAGAAAGGGACGTCTGAGAGAGCCACTTCATGAACAAGGTTTAGTCTATACTCTTTGGTTTTTTCGGTAAAGTCACGTAGGTTAAAAAAGAAAACAAATAAATAAAATCACGACGTTTCGGAGGCAACACAAGCCTCCATCTTCAGGTTTTTATAAGTCTTGCCTCCGAAACGTCGTGATTACATTTTTTTGTTTTCTTTTTTAACCTACGTGACTTTGCCGAAAAAACCAAAGAGTATGGATCCTTGCAGTCACGAAAGCTTCAAATCTAGAAGGTTTAGTCTACCACAGGGCCTTGTTGTTGCACCCAAGGTGTACAAGCAGCATGGGGATGTCACAATACGTTTTTTTAGATTATCGTCATTGCCTTTACCGTTCGGTTTCCTATTAAGGAAAAGTAGCTTAAAGCGAATTCTTCATCACCATTATAGTACAGTAGTACATATTTGCAAAAAAAATGCGATTTGAGATAACATTTTAAGGACAAGGTAGAACGTACACTTTGTCCTTAAAATATCTAAAATCGCTAAAAAGTTAGCAAATGTGTAATACTGTAAATATGTATAACTGTAATGGCTAAAATAACATGATGAATACATGCTTATTTGAGTGGTCATAGCTCAGAAAATAAATTAACAAATTCTATGCCATTTCAAAACATCCCATGTGGTTAATGTTTGCACGTGACCTCAAACATAAACATTTGGGATACGTATATAAACACGTAATGTTGAAAAAATAATCACTCTAGTTCCAAACGTACAAAGATTTATCGGTTCACACGACCTTTGTCAAAACTATGCGTCACTCAAAAAATAAGTAAATAAAAAAAGTATTTTGTAGTGGACACAAACAAACACATCAGCTCACCAAATGTTGCATTACATGGAAATAATTGCAGGGCATTAATGTTACGTGGACCCCGGTCCAGTTTGTCCCATGCCAGGTTTGGGCAGCAATTATGCAGCCATCCCTCTTTGGCAAGCAAAGAAGTGGGCGCTTCTAGAAATACATGCCTAACGGGCTGCAATATAAAACGCCTCCAAACATTATCACATGCTCACAGGCACTAGGGGCCGTCCATAAATGACGTCACGCGATTTTGGACGATTTTTGACCTCCCCTCCTTCGTCACACGGCGTCACAAAAAGTTAGAACCTCCCTCAAATATGACGTCACAAAGGTCTGCCGCCCCCCCCCCCCCAAAAAAATATAAAACATGCTTCAAATCGCTTTAAACTATTGTCATTGTAGTGAGTATTTAATGTGGCGTTGCACTCTGATGTTGTAGGAGAAAATATTTATTTAAAAGTCTATTTAATTAAGTAGAAGGTGTTGTCTATATTTATTTAAAGTTGTGCATTTTGATGTGACGTCACATTTCTCAAACCCCCCCCCCCCCTCATCGTCACACATCGTCACAAATGTCTGACTCCCCCCCCCCCCACAGGTGCGTGACGTCATTTATGGACGGCCCCCTAGGGCACAGCAGATGAAGTGGAGGAGAATTCATGCTCATCACAACAACTGTCAACAACTGCAGTTCGTGGCCTAAAGTTTGTACCTGTCTATGTTGATGCCTCACTCTGTACTAAATGCAACATGAAATGCCCCTTATGTTTATCAATATTTTTACCAACGTCATTTTATACATCGTTTTAACTTTCTATGCACAATGCCTCTTTCATAAGAATAGTATCTGTAACAACATGTGATGTCAAAGCGATAGTAATTGAGAATGTGTGCGTTAGGTCAGGGTGTGTATGCTTAAAGAGTAATAATATTCAAAAAAGTAGAATCCTATTCACCACAAGCTAAATGTGCAAAATATCAACTCGTGCAAAATGTATTGGGGATTGAACTTTGGCTGTCCAAATAAGCGGGAGGAGCGGTAGAACAGTATAGGGTGTATATTTTTAAAGTACCATATATCGAATTAAGTATAGTGGAAATAATACAATATTTAAAAATACTTTTCTTTTTTTAAAAACACGCTTTTAATGAAATGTACTGTCCGAGCTGCCCCTCCCCCTGCCCCTTCCCCCATCGCCCCTCCCCTCCTTCCACATGCCCCGCCCCTGGGCGTGGCTCCCCGAGGCTTGCCGTGACGTCAGGGACCACGTGGTGATTTACAGGCAACGTGAGTTGAGCGTGGACAATTCGAGCCGTAAAAAATATTGTAATTTTTTTTTATTTGTAATGATACAATATAGTATTGTCATCAGTATATGACATAGCTATACGAAGTTTGCAGTCGATACGACATTGGGAATACGGTTGAAATTGAGTTACAAGATTTTTTGATACGACGACACATACAGTAAGTTAAATAAAAGCGTGTAAAAAGTAAACAAATGAATGTTTTGGATTTTTTTTACGATAGAATATCGTGTTGTCATCAGTATGACATACCTATACGAAGTTTGCAGTAGATAGCACATTGGGAAGTGTGTAAAAATTGAGTTACAATATTTCTTTTTTGAGGATACACCAAACGAAGTGAGTTCAAATAAAAGCGTGTAATAATAAAAAATAATAAAAACGTTACTTGGGTATACTTTTAGAAGACACACCCTGTAGTTCACGCACTGCAAGCGATAAACCCGGCCACCTGAGTTTGATTCCCAACCACGGTCAACATCATCAGTGGCGAGTGGTGACATCTGTGAACTGCTATTGGCACTTTCTCTGTAAACTTGCATTGACCAATATGGTAAAGTATTGTCAAAAGAATCCCGATGACCGTCATCGCATTGGGAAGTCTTCAACCCACACTGGTTGGACAAAGAGGAATACATTGTTGGTTATTATCCAATAATCATTACCAACTCTAGCAGACACGTACATTTCTAACAGATACAGGGGAATGTGCACTCGCTGAAGGTTTACGCAACGTCTGGGATGAGTGACCTTCGGTACCGCTAAACCCCGTGCTTTGTTCTCTATTCAAGGATTTCCGGATAGGCATCAGATTAGAGAAGGGCGGAGAGAAAAAATACCGTTTCCAATTGAAACAAAGAAATGTGGAGCAAATGGGTTGAGTTCTTCCCATGAATGGTGACACTCGTCTGATGATGTGCAGTCTGCTACACATTTTTGACTCACACCAACTACTACCGACTGAGTAAACAAAGGCTGAAGTGAAATAAAACTACGACACTGTCGCCACCTGGACTCTGAACTATGTGGCACAACAAATAGAAATGAGACGCAGATGTCACTGCTTGCACATTTGGACTTTATATCCCTTGCCACTCAGGCAAAGAGAAGAGAAATCAAGTTTGTTGTTCTCATCGGTTCTGACGGGTTCCTAACAACGCTGTTAATAGATGCGTTGCTTTGGTTGTCGAAATTTAACCACCAGCTTGAACCCAGCCAGTGGCTGGGTGTGCACAGATGGCAGCAGCTGCAGCACCATTGGGTGGAGTTCAAACACACAGCGTGGATCCCCGCCTTGAAGACTGTCCTCGTGAGGTGAGGTTTGCCAGAGGCTTTGGGCAAGTGCTGTTTAAGTGCTGTCTCAGCCTGAATGGGCTCAAGGCAGACACAAAGCCGGGACGTAATACCGGGGTGGATGTTGTCAGACAGCACTAATGACGATGAGAGTAGCACTGCAAGGTGAGGGTAGACGAGCCCAGTCCCAAATTCGGCTCCTCTTGTTTGCCCGGGGTTAGTGATGACCTGCTATAAACAGGTACTCAGTTTGGGCTCCAAATTAACATGAAATACATGAAGCATATATATGAATTTGGAAGGAATTTATGCTTAGTCTTTCCAAGTTTTTTTTAATGAACTGTTATAGCTGTTATTTGTTTTTATTTTGTGGAAAATATTCAGTAACTGTAAATATAATTGTTAAAACTGTGACCCTAAATTGGATATTTGAGAACATAATAGGCAATAAACCTTTTACACTTGAAACCATTGAATACGTGGTCTGGGATCTGTAAAGTGTTTTTATAATTGTGTGTCTGCATCTGAAAAACAACCATTGTTCCTGTCTCGACCCTCTCCTAGACGGTGTCCAGAGCCACTGTAGTGGAAATGTGGGATGAATCATCAACGGTAAAAGGCCTCAAGCTGAGAATCCACAACCAACAATTCACCTTTAAAGCAGGCCAGTGGTGTGTAAGCAAACAACAAATAAGCTCCTACAGCAGCTACAACACAAAATAATACTGCTTTGTATTTGCCTTGCGAGGTTTTTAAATATACTGAGTAAAATAAATTCCATCAAATGTTATGTGGCTTTGTGTATTTGTAACTGCTGCCAGGGTGGACTTCTATGCCCCTGGCATAGCTGAGATGACAGGGTTTTCCTTCTGCTCAAATCCTGAGCAACTGGAGAGCGAAGGTGTCATCGAGTTGGCAGTCAAGGATATCGTGGATAATCCAGCACATTGGGTGCACACACAGGTATTGCACACACACACACGCACATGGAGACACGTGCTCACCGAACATACACAAGCATGCAGCACACACTTAACATTGCTCAGTCAAGCAGCGGCACAAAAAGGAAAACATGCAATTGTCATCTGTAGATAATTATTGAATATTTAATTTACAAACTGTATAATTGTTTACATATGTATAGCAGTATATCAGTATACTGCAATGGTGGTGACTCAAAGTCACGCATTTGCAGTATGGCAATGTGACTTGTTCAAACATCATTCTTTAATTCACAGTGCAAAGTTGGGGTGGAAGTGACAGTCCGAGTTGGTGGAAATTTCTACTTTGATCCCCGGCCATCCGACCCTCCTGTCAATTTGCTGCTGGTGGCAGGAGGTGTGGGGATCAACCCATTACGCTCCATTCTGATGCACTGTGTGCACCTCATGAGGCAGCGGGTCCTCACTCAAGCTGGATGCCAGCTGGGGAAGATCCATCTGATCTTCACTGCAAGGACGATCAGCGAGCTGATATTCAAGGTAATACATGAGCACATTTCACTCATAATGGCATTAAATTCAGTTAGACCTGTACTTAAAACCCATTGATAGTCCATTCATATGAGTAAACACAGAAGTCCATCTGTATACATGTTGTACATTCGAGTAATACTTTCAGAAATTACAGCTACAAAGTTACACTGTAGTTGTGAGGTAACCACTTATTACAAGGTACAGTATATCTTTTTAACATATTTTTTTCTTCAAAACTAGCAATTAACATGTGTTATACAATTATAACATTTGATCATAAGTCTCCCAAACGTTTGCTGGGATGCTGTGGCTTTTCTGAAACAAATGCATCAGGGCTCCTCTGGGTCAATGTCTAAAATAAATATTAACACATTAACGATAGCAGTGATGATAAATGTATAAGTACCTAAGAACACTGATTAATGTTGCCAATGGTGGATGCATGTGACCCTGAGCACTGTTTCGTATTAATTTAATGCAGGACTGGCTGCTGTCCTTGGTGCAAGAGTTCCCAGGGAAAATGTCCCTCCGGTTCCACATCACGCGGTGCAAGTCCCCAGTAACGAAGGACCTGAAGCCCTATACTACAGGCACAGACAACGCCTGCATACATCACATTCACGATCAAGTATTTTAATGCTTCATATATGGCCTCAAAGTAATGTGAAATCCAAAAGCACTGTTCTGGCTTAAGACCCATAAAGCACTTGCTAAATTCATTATTTTCGTACGCCATCGTCATTACACTGCTGGATAAAGGCTCCACCAAGCCACCACCAATACTCATGAACTTACGATGTAACAATCCTCTAATCTGCATACGAGCTCTATGCATTTGAAATACGTTTAATTCCTTAAGTGTAATCAACAAACACTGGTTTCTAATGGGATTCCTTTGAGAGCTGGACTAATGGTTATGCGCGTCTGCCCCTCCCAAACAGTGGGGAGGATCACTGGACAAGACCTGCTGCAGGCATCGCAAGGTAGCCCACACTGCTTTGTCTGCGGCCCCTCATCCATGTACGACTTTGTGACGGACGCACTGGGAGGTGCAGGGATTCCCAAGGATAACGTCTTTTATGAAAAGTGGCAGTAGTGGAGGCACCCAAAGAGCTGCTTGAAAAAATACGTGCAAAATTAATTCCACGTCTTTGTTTATAATCTTTTCATCTACATTACTTTAATGGTTTCATAAGATCGTTAATATTGTAAAATGTATTACTCCTGCTTATAAGATGAGAGATCAATCAGAATTAGTGTCTCTTGTAAATGCAAAGCATCTTGCCAGTAAATATTTTGTGATTCACTGTTTTCTTGATTTAATTGCCACTGTTTCATTACATATTGATGATCAACAACGTTATTGTTCTGGTAAACATTGACAGCTCATTTGTAAAGACACTACTTACCAACAGTGGATTGCTCATGGCTGTTGATCAGTTATATGAAAAGTTATTTTGACCGTCGTCAGTTCTAGGATATGCATATTGCAGTTTGCTGATGAAATGAACTACAGGAAATGAGTGGAATGCTTCATAAAATAAAACTTCAAAGTGACGCTATTGGGGGGGGGGGGGACACATGGAACATACATCGGAGTCGGTATACCTAGGTCGATTATTAAAGGCATACACGGATCAAATGAGAAAATAAAAAAGCAGATTGCTGTGCTTTTGGAAAACTAAAACTGAATCAGGAAAATAAACGTACAAATGTGTACACAAAGATGTTTAATCAATGTAATCACTGTATAGTACATACATGAAACGTGGGCACTGACAATGCAATATGATCAAAAGGTGAAATATTCACAAATAATAATAGAAGTGAGCACGTGGAATTACACAAGGACATATGGAGAGGAACACATGATTATGGAACATATTTGAGTTTTTAGACACTACATTATCTTTAGAAAAGTGGAATTTGGCAGGGCACGTTGCAGGAAAGGATGGAGAATGGGATCGGTTCATGCGCAGTAGCTCGACGGATCGGGGCGGGGGGCGGATGGCCTTCATCCAGCAGCAGATTTGCTCATGTCTGTTATCAGTTATTTTCTTGGAATCTTTGGCGAGAGCAATTCACTCACCGAGTTGGAATCCCAACCCGTACTTCAACTCAAGCACATTAAAGCCCGTTCTTTTTTAAAGGTTGGGTAGTTGGTTGAAATGAGAAAAGGGTGTCCCGTTATGGTAACGTGGAATTTCGCGTCAACCGAAAGAGTGCCACACGTGCGTGCTCGCTTGAGCAGGCCAAATACTCTTAGGTTTTTTTCGGTAAAGTCACGTAGGTAAAAATAAAAGTAAATAATAAAAAGAATATAAATAATAGAAATAAAATACAAATATTTAAAAAATAAGAATATTTTATTTATATTATTCTATTATTTTTATTAATAGAAATAATATAAATAAAATAATATTTTAAAATAATATTTTATTTCTATTATTATTTCTATTGTTTGTATTAATAATATTTGATTATTATTATTCCCATAAATTGCTTATTTGTTTTTATTTTTACCTACGTGACTTTACCGAAAAAACCTAAGAGTATGAATCCTTGCAGTCACGAAAGCTTCAAATCTAGCAGGCCAAATGTTTAGATGTTCAGGACCTCGTGTCGAATTCAGCACAGATTTCACAAAGGTCACCAGAGGCCACCAGAGGCCCCCCCCACAACCTCACCCAAGGGGTCACCTATTCGTTCTACCAATTACAAAGGCATCTCTCCCCACGTTTCAACGGCCCACGTGCGTTTAAGCGGCGGGTAATTTGATAAGCCCCCACCCCCCACGACCCACCCAATTAACATCCAAACGCCCGCTCGCCCTCGCTACACCTAATTGACGTAGACGCTATTCGTTAATATATAGAGGCGGTCGCACATTAGCGGGGCGACGTTTGGGACGCATCAAATCCCGACGACGCCGCCGCCAATGCGCACTACCATTTTCAACCGGTGCCGCCGCCCGGATGTGACGTCACGAGGCGGCATGGCGGACGGGACGGCCGTGCTGAGGCGGAACAGACCCGGGACCAGGACGCAGGTTCCGTCGCTCAACATCCGATCACCCCCCCCCCCCCCACACACACACCACACACTTCTCTTTGTCGCCTTCTCCGTTTCTCTGCCGAATCTCGAGCGGCGCCCTCCGAGGCTACGAACGTTGAACGGGGAGAGCCTCGGCAATAAACGAAGGGACTCCAGCGTTTGTAAACTGCAGTCCGCTTAGGCGGTGGTCGTTGTGAAGCCGTGCGCCGATTGGTCAGGGCCGGTCACGTGGTGGGGCGAATCTCGCGCGTGATTGGCCCGGGAGCACCACTAGTGCGTATGCGCGCTGGGAAATTTAGACGGTGAAATGAAGACCCCCCCCCCCCCTCGGCCTGGCCGAGTGGGTTTTAATGTTTTTAGTTTTAATGTTACAGTCAACATTTAATATCGTTCACGCTCGGGTTATTGCACCGCGGTCCGCAGCATATTCCACCAAGCTCTGAGGAAGCCACCGCAGCATTGGAGCCGAGCACTTTTTTTTTAATATATAAAGGAAGATTGGTGACTAAAACCATTGACCGAAACCCACCACAATGGAGCACAATGACCCCACACATTCCAATTACTCTTGCAGACGTGCCCGAGGTTTTATCTTAATTTAGTTCACGGCTGCGAAGTGGCCGGGATCTAGCGGTACAGCAATCAACGGAGTGTTTATCCCTTTGTGTGCCCGGCTTGAAGGCTATTCACCATTTGTGTTGATTGAGTTTTGACGTGTTGTTTACTTTTGCGTTTCAGGAATTCTATAGTTGGCCAGATGAGCCCTTTGAGGAGATGGATAGCACCCTTGCGGTACAACAGGTAAGGAACATCGGTTGTTTCGTGCATTGCCTTGTAATAAAGGTGTCAAACATGTCGTGCGTGACACTATATTTAACTACACAACTTCACGACCGCTTATTGACGTTCATCTTGTATTTGGTCAACCATCCATCCACAGTTTATTCAGCAGAACATCCGAACGGACTTCTCGAACATCGACAAAATTCTGGAGGCTCCAGATGGGCAGGATGAGGGTGTTTGGAAATATGAGCATCTGAGGTACCAGAAAAAACACTGAAACATGTGAACAATGAGTAGCAACAATTACATTGAGTATAATATACCGTACTGCATGGTTGTGTCTCAGTATAAACACATTAAGGACATTGTGATATATTTTCATTAACCAGAACACATTGTTAACAGTGAGCATATTGTCATAATACACAACATACCATCTGTATGTTTAATTACTGTTATTTACTGTGCTGCAGGCAGTTTTGTTTGGAGCTAAATGGCTTGGCTGTAAAACTTCAGGTAAGAACTATGAAGCTAGACTGATGTAAATGTATAATAATACTGGTAGGAACCTCCTGGTTACACTAGCCCACATGGGATTATTGTGTCCGTCTGGGTGAGGAGGGTAAGGGCTGGGCGGGGCGGGTAGGGGCTGGGTGGGGCTGGGTAGGGCTTGGTGGGGCTGGGTAGGGGCTGGGTGGGGCTGGGTGGGGCGGGTAGGGGCTGGGTGGGGCGGGTAGGGGCTGGGTGGGGCGGGTAGGGGCTGGTGGGGCGGGTAGGGGCTGGGTGGGGCGGGTAGGGGCTGGGTGGGGCGGGTAGGGGCTGGGTGGGGCGGGTAGGGGCTGGGTGGGGCGGGTAGGGGCTGGGTGGGGCGGGTAGGGGCTGGGTGGGGCGGGTAGGGGCTGGGTGGGGCGGGTAGGGGCTGGGTGGGGCGGGTAGGGGCTGGGTGGGGCGGGTAGGGGCTGGGTGGGGCGGGTAGGGGCTGGGTGGGGCGGGTAGGGGCTGGGTGGGGCGGGTAGGGGCTGGGTGGGGCGGGTAGGGGCTGGGTGGGGCGGGTAGGGGCTGGGTGGGGCGGGTAGGGGCTGGGTGGGGCGGGTAGGGGCTGGGTGGGGCGGGTAGGGGCTGGGTGGGGCGGGTAGGGGCTGGGTGGGGCGGGTAGGGGCTGGGTGGGGCGGGTAGGGGCTGGGTGGGGCGGGTAGGGGCTGGGTGGGGCGGGTAGGGGCTGGGTGGGGCGGGTAGGGGCTGGGTGGGGCGGGTAGGGGCTGGGTGGGGCGGGTAGGGGCTGGGTGGGGCGGGTAGGGGCTGGGTGGGGCGGGTAGGGGCTGGGTGGGGCGGGTAGGGGCTGGGTGGGGCGGGTAGGGGCTGGGTGGGGCGGGTAGGGGCTGGGTGGGGCGGGTAGGGGCTGGGTGGGGCGGGTAGGGGCTGGGTGGGGCGGGTAGGGGCTGGGTGGGGCGGGTAGGGGCTGGGTGGGGCGGGTAGGGGCTGGGTGGGGCTGGTCGCCCCGTGGTGCCCTTATAAAACTCAACGTTTAACCTACTCACGCCGGCTTGTGCCCGCCCTCAGTCGGGCATATTTGCGGAATACACCACGCTGCCGTTGACCCTGGTCATTGACCGAGCAACCTAACGTTCCTACCAGCTCCCTCTGCAGGAATGTGTTTTGGCCCCACAATTTAAGGAAACCACTTAAACATCAGCAGAGCTTAGAATGAGACTGCACCCACGACACAAATATTTAACATGGGTTGGCGGCTTGAGCTAAAACCGATCAAAGTATGTGAAAATTAAAACTGAAATCTTAACTTGTTAGTGGGTATATTACAGACGAATACTTGCAGTAATATGTAGATGGCCTACAAGTGCACGTACTAAACAGTAACAAGGAAATTGGTAAGAGCCTAAAATGCAGACTGAACAGGAATGAGGCCTACAACTGCGGCGAATGAACCGAATGCTTTCGTTTGCATGGCAGAATGATTGTCACCCAGAGACGTGTACCCAGATGACGGCCACGGAGCAGTGGATATTCCTGTGTGCAGCACACAAAACCCCCAAAGAGGTAATTTATTTTTGCGGTGCTAATGCTCAGCAGTCTGATCATCAGCAAACCTACAGCATCCACCAAACTGCATGTTACAAATTATGCCATTTATCATGCAATGTATGTGCAAATGAGCAATTTTGTCAAGATCCAAACTGTACTAAGGTTTAATATGGTACTGTACCTCATAAGTGTTTGTTTTCATCTGCATCAGTGTCCAGCTATAGACTACACACGGCACACATTAGATGGAGCCGCCTGTCTGCTAAACAGCAACAAATACTTCCCCAGCAGGTAAGAAAACTTGCCATATACATTATTTGGTTCAGTATGTGAGGTTGCAATTGGGTGGGTTGAGTGCAACGCGTGACCGATTTCTTCTTGAATGCGCGTCATAGGGTGAGCATTAAGGAATCATCCGTGGCCAAGCTGGGCTCGGTGTGTCGTAGGATTTACCGGATCTTTTCGCACGCGTACTTCCACCACCGCCAACTTTTTGATGAATACGAGGTACTTGCGCTTTTTGTTTCACCATGTTCGTCATTGAAGCACGTTAAATATCATACTGCAAGCAAAACCTAACTCGCTGTGTGGCATGCAGAATGAAACGTTGCTGTGCCACCGCTTTACCAAGTTTGTGATGAAGTACAACCTCATGTCCAAGGACAACCTGATTGTGCCCATCCTGGAGGAGGAGATCCAGGGCACCACAGCAGAGGAGAGCGAGGCCTGAAGTTTCACCCCCCCATTCATTCACACATCTTCTTAACTGTAATCTTCCAGGTATTAGGATATCCCAATAGACTTTTTAATGAGCAACTATGTTATGAAAGTTTCACTTATATTATTTTGACACTAAAAATGTTAAATTGACAGAAAAAGCCACAATGCAAGTGGTGTAGTGTGTTAATCACTGCAGATGAGCATTGTGAACTACTGAGCTCTGCACAAGTAAAATGTTCTATATGCCATGCCTCGAGGTAAAAGTTTTATTTAAAATCGGAGTGTCCTATTTAACAGATTGCATGAGTCACAATGTGCATTCACATTATACTTTTCAATTCATATGGGTTCATTTGCCAAATGGAACAAACGATTGAGACCAGAATCTGAAATCTGGCACCAGCTTGGATGGATCTTGGTTAAGCTGAATTTGTACATTCGGACCTGGTGTACTCGTTTCCTTGCGATTTCCCCAGTAGCATAACGTTTCTACAAAGCTAGGTCGAGTTTAAAGCAATGTATTCTGTACCCACTTTCTACAAGCTGTAAATCTGCCGATATTGTCTTGGTACCTGAGCAGTTATTTCCACTCAAATATTCCTGCTATTCGTATGCACCCTTAAGTGCGTATTTAAGTGTAAAACCGTTTGTCATTGTACACATTACAAAACACTTTTTTACAAGGCTTGTATTGTAAGTGCATTAGGACTACTCCTAAAGCATTAGTAATTGGCATGCTATTACAAATTCAGTTTAAGTAAAGCAGTTATATCAAATAAAACAATATTTAACAGTTTGTAATGTTTTGTTTTCATATGCTGATAACGTCTTATGAGATTAATATTAGTCACTTAAAATCCATATGGGAAGGTACATTTTTATTTTTCAAGAGTAACCGTGATATCAAATGCATTGCTGATTAAGTGTCAAATGTACAAGAGCAGCAGGTTTAATTATATTACAGCAACTATTGTCGTACAAGTATTCCATGCCGCATAGGTTAGTATCAAAAATTATTATAGCAAAGTGGCAGTGAAATTCTATTTATGCAGCAAAAGTCTAATACTACAGTTGTGTAAGCACCAGCCAGGGCACCCAAGGACTATCACTTTTCACCCAATTACTAATGGCATATTACATGGTAAATTACTAAAATGATGCACTCCTAACATTCAGCACATGGTATGGCAAAGTCAGCAGATGCAATCATGGTTAACAGCAGAGAACTTGTACAACAAAAAACCGGCAATTAAAAATAAAATATTTGAATTATGCAACACTTAAGGCAAATGCAGTTACAGGCAACACAACTTAACCTCTTCAAACTTGGTGTGACAAGCCAATGCATTAAAATTCTGCAGCCAAGGACACAAAGCGACCCAAAGCTGAAAATGTGGCAAGGTCAGTGGCAGATTACAGGTCCAATGGGCTCACAATGAGAAAGTCTGAGTCTCGGCTCGTGTTGCTGCCACTCTCTTCATCTGGGCTGATGAGCGAGCGGACAGGCCCAGCAGTGTGGTGGTCGTCACCCTGCAGGGTTTGGCCATCTCCCAATGGGTGTTGGCTTTCAGCTATGGGATGCTTCTGCATGCTGTTGCCGTTGCCTCCATCACTTGACAGGGCGGCATGCCCGCCTTCATCACTACATTCGATACCATATGCAATTTCCTGCAGGGTGCTTTTGCGAGCGTGTCGGATTTCCATGAGTGGGTTGTCCATGGGCAGGTTCTGCCGGATCGGGCGAGGGCTTTGAAGGCCGAGTGAAGGATCCTCAGCTGTTCTGTGTGGCACTGAGACCTTGGCCACTTTACTGCCAGGCCCTGCAGCCTGGAACAATGCATGAAAATACATTTAAAGACAAACGTGCTATGACAGGCACACACGAACAGTGCAAATTGAGTGTATTGTCAAAAAGGGTGCTTTTGGTAGCCATATTTGATCAAGGTTTACATATACCTTAAATATATCAATGGTCCTGAAGTCTATATGGTAATTATATACAGCCCTTTGGCAGTCCACTAACGTCAAAACAATATGAAGCAAAAAGGTTAATTATTAGAACATTAAAAACCCATCCAAAATCCATGTATTGGCAACATTGTGATGCATTCTACAGTTAAGATAATCCAATACCCTTGACAACTCTTGTTCGGAGAACATCAGATGCAAAATCAAGAATACTACTGCCCATCTACCTGCAAACGTAGTTACCCAGAACAGACAATGGAACAGAGGCTGAGAACCAAGACTCAGGAAGGACATTACTTGCCTTACCCACCACCAAATCCCATCCAACGAAACCTTAACACCAAACAGTGCAACGGCAGACACAAGGGGGTGTGCAAGTAACCTGGCTGCCATCTGGTTGGTAGTGGTTGTCGGTGATGGAGATTTCCTCATTGTCCCCAGACTCGAGTTGGCTCTGGTTAAACCTGAGAGTCCCCTTCAGGATGTCCTTAATCTGTTCACACAGGTCCAACAACAAACAGCAGGGGTTTATAACAGCAAACTTGTCACAATGAAAACATACATTATGCATGAAAATTCGATTGAATGTATTGCAGTGAATAACTTAATGTGATCAAATCGTCTGCTGGATTAGAGTTTCCTCGTGCAATGGAGGACGTGGGGTTATTGGATCATATTCAACACTATTAGTGCGGGCTGAAGGCAGGAAGGTTTAAAATGGGAGCCTGGAAGTAAAGAAATTGACTTTTCTGCCCTGCTCTCTGCTGCCCACCAGCAAAAGCCCCCACATGAAAATAACATTACGACTGTAATAGTTCCCAGCAGCACTCAACTGCAGAAACTCCGAGATAGGAATAAACCTCGAGGTTTAAGTCACCAAACGAATTGAGAGCAGGAATGTGACAAGATGATAATTGTTACCAGTGAGTGCAGATTTAATGCTTGTGTAGTGACATTGAATCACTATGGCGTTGCGCCAGCTACTGAGAGAAGAGTGTAACTGCGTCTTAGAGCGCCTGTCACCAGAGTACGTATGGCATACGTGACAGTCTAGGTGAACCCAAGAGGGCACGTGACCTGCAGATAAGGGCGGGGGCCAGAAGGGGACCAAAGGGATAGGTGATGTAAGGTCCCAGAACCTTCTGGGAAGATCCCGAAGGGGGCATGGCCAAGGATGGAGCGAGGCCATGTTCAAGAGGATAAAGGGGCAGTCCCGGGAGCGATTTTGGCCGTCTTCTGGAATTAACCTGCCGTGCTACGCTTTTCGGTCTCCACTCGTCACGTTCGACATCGTGGGTCAGGCAGTACTTTCCTGACCTGACCCGTTTATATAGTGACCTTGTTGAGGTCTAGCTCCGTGGTAGTTACCAGATAGTTATCCCTAGTGTTTATGCAGTTTATGTAGTTACCCTGTTGGGGTGTATAATAAACGTGTTGCCTCCAAGTTACAAGTGTCTGCCTCCGTGGGACCCACTACACTTGTATTGCAACTTGCTAGGTGGCTAGCAAAGATGTAACCAGTGGGATGTACGGCAGTTTCTGGCAGATAAAGCATCAACTGGACCTACTGCTGGTGTTACTGTGCGTGCAGCAGCTACATAATTGCTACTTCTTCCGCTTTACTAACAAGTGGTTTGTAAAGTTGCAATCGTTGAGCATTTTATCTGTACTCATTGGTAACATGCACCATCTTGTTACATTCCCACTCATAATTCAGTTTGCCTTTGTGGTCTATGGTGACCGTGTGGAAGGAGGGTGAATACCTACTAGAATCATCCAGGAATGTCTGTCCTTAACGCTCGTGACGTCCCTCCACATCGACCAGCCTCCCCCCCTCATATTCATGAGCAGGTGATGTCCTCCAAATGGACACCCCCCTCCCCTCATTAATAATGAGCGGGTGACATCGCTCAATATCGAGTACCCCCCCCCCCCACTAACAATATAATCATGCACAAGCGACGTCACTCCACATTGAACAGCCCCCCTCATTAATAATCATGAGCAGGTGACGTCCTCGAAATGGTCACTCCACATGGGGGGCCGAGGTGCCTCCTCCCCCCTCTGCGTCCACTTCCAACCCTCACTCAAAAAGGCAGAACCCTCACGTCACGCGATATCCGTAACGCTATTGAGACATCAAAGTAAAAAGGACGTCCTTATGAACAAGGGACTATAACCTTAAAATAAAACAGGTCTGTGTCACCGTGCCCTTATAAATTGCACACGAATTGATGCAATGAATATCACGGTCTGCTTTTCGCTTGCAAGTTTCAGATTTATTGCAATACACCCGTCCTTGGACAGGCAAAAGGCTAGTTAAGCAATAACTAGTGACAAAGTCCAACATGCAGTCAGTCGAATAGGGCTGAAATATGAATCCTTTATTACCTGTTTGATGCCAGCCAGGGACACCAGGATCTCATCTTCTCTCTGCAGATTCTCTTGCAGAATGTCCTCCTGGATTTTGGCTACACCAAGCACATAACAAATGACCAATAATTGTTTTAGCTGCAACTCTGCACACATGCAAACACACACTTGTGCAGATGTCCAAGAAAGAGGCATGAGTGAAAGCTGAAGTGTAAAAAACTGCACTGTGAAACGCAACCCAGGTGCTGGTCCAATTTCTCTGCGCAGTAGTGGCACATGCCCTGCATTTCAATCAGCTTGGCCTGCAGAAGTGATATTTGGCTTTGCAGGTCTTCCTCCTGTTCACACACACACGCATTTGCCAATTCCCACACACAACCTATATTAACGGCCAATGAAGAAAATGCAGAGAACCTTAACCAAAAAAAAAAGGACACGACCATTGGCCATTATCCATCCACTGTTGGATAAAGGCCTCCCAATGCCAAGTCAATCCCACATGGTCCAGTGCTGCTACGATTTATTTCATTGCAGCAAGAACTTATCTCATCTCATTGCTCCACCTCTGGGGTTGTCATTATTCTTTTGACTTCTATTCCATCACCAACTTGTCCACCCGGCCATCATTCTTTCAAGTGATGTGTTTTACCAAAGGCCATTTACTTAATTGTCAACACGTCTCTGTTCCCTGATCTGGGAAATGTTATCTTAAATTACATATCTGAACTCTAGCTCAAAATGATTCAAGCATAAAATAAACTTCACATTTAAATGAAAGCAACCATCACCCTTCCATGGCACACACTACCAAATCACCAGATCATCATTTATTGAAACACGTGGATTGGATGTTTGGGGTCCAATAGTGAGGCAAGAGTACGCACCAGTTCCCTGCGAGTCTTGCTGACGCTGCGAGGCCGAGGAAGTGTGCTACCGCTACCGAACAGCGCCTTCCCCCGGGTTCCGGCCGGCGAGGATGGCAATGGCCTCGGCTCCTCACGGGACAGACTTTCTGTGCTTGGGGACGAGTTGCCCTCACTCCATCCCAGGCCTGCATGCCCCACACAGCTGCATCACAATCATTGTACCAATGCCGCTCCACGGTGCACATCTGAAACTGATGTTTATACATGCTTCTGATTCGTGCCCGTACACCAATGCAGTCTCTTGTTTTATTTATATATTAGCTTTAGATCATTGTGAAGGGTACAGGAACATTAACCACTGTAGACTAAACAAGGTAAAATAACGTATATTTGACAATCGCACTGCCTCTGAGGACTATAAAATGAGTTAAATCAACATTTCCTGAATGCCATAATTTTCATTATGATATACTGTAAATGTGCCTTAGGTTACTGTGCAAACTGGTTATAACTGAACACTCTTTACAGACTCACCATGTTACACTGAGTTTGAAGTGTGTAAAATGTCAAGTTAATTCAGGAAGCAAGTGTGAGGGTTAAATGTTGGCACAAATGGTAAACATCAATCAGTAAAGTAAAAGTGAATTCGACAGCAACGTTGGATCAAATGACCTCCCAAGCAACCCTCTTAAGTGCCGAACGGCGGCAAACGAGACTGAAGAGATCACAGAACGAGCACGCAACATTGGGCACCAGCATCCCAAGCTACAGCCGCATTACACAATCACACTGGGAAAGACAGGGGTTGACAAATAAACACATGCAGGACACAAACGTGGCACGCCAGTTACCTGTGCCACCAGCCATGCTGTCGGCAGGCAAAGGAGCCTTTTCCCCATTGCCTGCCTCTACCTTCCCTGTCAGCACAGAGCACACACAGCTGCAGACGTCATCCATCGGGACCCCAAGCAAGACTTCGAGAGAGGCCATTTTATTGAGAAGGTAAAGACATTCTCCCACGTATAAATAATCCCACGACAGCCCAGATGTAATGTGTAAACATGCACACAATTCAAAGTGGAGTTAAGGGGAAATTATATGTTATGAAACAGCAGAATTGGTTCAGGAACAATGCCTAAGCTGTTTGGTATAATATCAATGTTAAATTGATGGATTGCTCAAGGTATTTTAGTTTTGACCAGTTATAACTTTTCCCTGAGAAGTTAACTTAAAATCGCTGTTACGAAGAAGACAATTGAATTCTACGTATTAACTTGGGTGCATTTTTTCTACTGAACTCACTGCCGTGTTTTTGTTGTTGTGGCGTCCAAGCACCACTTTCGGAAGAATGCAAAACAAGCACGGATATACTGACCCTTACTGAGGTGTGAAGGCACGCTCTCAGATTTTAGTATGCGCTGCTGCTGCTGCTCCTGCTGCTGGTGCACACGCACGGAAGTGTCTGTCATCAGGCGTGCTCTAGGGACAACGCTGGTGGCCTGTCCCGATGCTGGAGGGCCTATGAGTTTGCGTGTCAAGTTGAGCAGTCCCGCAGAGACTTTGTTTATGTTGACGGCTGGCCGTTGCTGTGTCTCCCTGTGCATGTTATTGCAATGCAAGCATCACAGGAATACAAGAAAATCGGGAACATTAACAGGTCAAAGCATCCGATTGCTTCATCAGAATAGGGTAGTTCTAATTTATCTTGAACCCTACTTTCGGCTCTCATTGTTAAGTTCTAAAATCACTTCCTATAGTTTAATCAGTTTTTTTATCTATAAATCACTGTTGTCAGAAATCCAAGATGCTTAATCAGTTCTCCATATATATTTATGAACTAGCCTTTTGCCCATCCAAGGACGGGTGTATTTCAGTAAATATGAAACTTGCAAGCGAAAAGCAGACCGTGACGTGATATTCATTGCATCAATTCGTTTGCAATTTGTAAGGCCGCGGTGACAGACTTATTTCATTTAAAGGTTATAATCCCTTGTTCATCATGACGTCCTTTTTACTTCTATGTCTCAATAGCGTTACGGAGATCGCGTGACGCGAGGGTTCTGCCTTTGTAGTGAGGGTTGTAAGTTGACGCTGCGGAGGGGGGAGGAGGCGCCTCGCCCCCCCATGTGAAGTGACGTCAACCGCTAATTAATGTTAATGGAGAGGGGGCTGTCCATTTGGAAGACGTCACCTCTTCATGATTATTAATGAGGGGAGCATGGTCGACATTGAGCGACGTCACGCGGGGGACACAGACATTCTTGGCTCATTATAGTCGTAAATTTATTTCTGAATACATTTTCACGTAATATATCTTCTAAAGTTTCTGGGAATAGCCTCAGTGATATCCCATCCATTTCATCAGCCGACTCATATTTTTGCTTAATAATTTGTCATGTTCTTCACTCACTTCTATCTTTTATGAAATATAGGTAGTCCCCAACTTACGATGGTCCGACTTACGATATTTCGATCTTACGATGGCGATATGACAAAATTGTAAAATATTGCACATTTTGCGCGGCAGGCAAACGTAGCAGCGTACGAGGTACGATACTGTATGTTGGGACGCTGCCGGGATGTACTGCGCGCATCTCCCACCTTGTGTGGTGATGCCTCACTCTCACCAGCGGTTGACGGAGTTAAGTTGTCTCGGTGTTCAATGCATGTTAAAAGTTTTTTTTATAACAGATAGGATTGTTTCCTGAAAAAACTTTCCATGAAATTGTAGTTCATATAGGTAGGCTAAGAATTTACCTTGCTTTTTACTTTATTGTAATTAATAAATACATACAGTATATAGTTTATACAGTACGGTACTGTAAATTGCTCTGTTCTGCTAAATTATCACCATTCTTTAAGACTCCTGGGTAGGCTCGGCCATTTTCGACTTACGATGGGGTCGTCGTAATGCATCTCTATCGTAAGTCGGGGACTACCTGTAAACATGTATGCTTAAAAATTAAATAATAAAAGCCATCCAGATGATGATTAACAAAGGTATGTGATCTGAGCATACGTATATATTTATAACCAAACGTAAAAGGGAGCCTTACCTGGCAGCATATTCGGTGTGCCGCACGATCGCAGATGCCTTGGGCGTCTCCACAGTGCCCGAGAACTTGTAATTGTTGGGCCTTGGATTGTTCTGTAAAACACGAGATTGCCTTTTTTTTAAACAGCTTCTGTAACAGTTTAATCAGCAAGGATGGCTGCAAACTTCAAAACCAACCTCACTTCATGGAAGAATGAAAATACATGAATGTCAAATGATGGCATAACAGAACAAAGTACGATGGACACCATGGAACCTTTTAAGGACATTCAAAAAAATGACCTCCAATACGTTTATATAAAATTTAAATTGAAGACGGTGAAAAACCCATTATGTTGGATGACGTGCCGGTTGTATAAGTGTAGAACTGTGTAGACCCGGAGTATTTTGTCAACCACTGCCCTTTGCTTCACCGTAAGAAACTGTTCAGGACTAGAGATCATATTTCTATTAATTAATATTGATTTGACAACCACCGATTATTGTAGACGAAAGTGTTAAGTATGTATAAGAATAAACTCTTCTTCTTCCGAGCGTTGTTCCCACTGTGGCGCAGGGTCCGCTTTTTGGCATTGTCTTCTCCATTTGGCTCGGTCCAGGGCATCTTCAGGGGATGCGTTGACCGTCTTCATGTCTTCCTTTATTCGATCCATCCATCGCTTCTTCGGACGTCCGCGTGGACGGCGGCCCTCTGGCTCAATACGCATGGCAGTCTTGGCCACTGATGACTCTTCACTTCGCATCACATGGCCGTACCACCGAAGCCTTGCCTCAAGCATCTTGTCCGCAATGGGGGCCACACCAAGTCGCTTCCGAACGTCTTCGTTCCTGACACGATCCCATCGAGTGTATAAGAATAAACTGCAACAATAAAATGTGTTGCCCCATCTGGTCCGGTGTTATTTAAAGTGTATGAATAAGCACCTTAGGGTCACGAAGGAAAAGTGCTTTTTGCACCAGATGATGGAGATCTCCACTGGGAGGGTAATGCATGAGCAGTCCCAGGCACGTCTGGTAGTTACTCGACAGCACTGGAGCAAGCACATGCATGCAGACGCATGCACACACACAGGTACACACACCAAAGAGAAAAGAAGATCGACATTGGTATCCCACTTAGGCTGTTAATACAGGAATTCATTGAGGATGCCTATTATGGCCAACAGGCCCATTACAGGGTTATTGTACAGGCACATATCAGATTGTCAAGCTTCTGTGGATTAAAGATCCTTCAAACGACTATTGAAATGAATGCGACCTATTGCATATCTTAACATCTGGCAGTTGAACAGCATTGGTTCAAGCAAGCTTGGCTCTCTGATTATGTTAAAACCGGTCCAGAGTCTCCTTGTGTTAAATGAATGCTGCTGGGATAATGCACTCCCAGAGGGTCTTGTAGTAGACATGAAATTATTAAAATATTTATATTTTCACGTGGAGGGACAGATACAAATTAGTCATGACTTATTTTACCCCATGACTGTATGACTTATTTATAGCATCCAGAATGCTCTATTAACCCGGTATCTACCATAGACGGCAATTACAAATCTTCCTTCACATATCCGGAAAAATTGGGATGTCATCCGGTATCTTGCCGCGCAATTATCAAACATCTGTTGAATACGGAAGCTTCAGGACCGCTGCCCAGTGGTGGCGCTCGTGGCAGTCTGTACGTAGAGTACTGTACTTCTGTATACCGTATTTTCCCCGCATACGCATATAACCTGCAGACGCATATACCCCGCAAAAATAGCGTTTTGTGTAAAACAAATTTCAGATAGCCTGCACCTCCATATACCCCGCAGAGTCTTGTTTCGTTTGTAAAAAGTGGTATACCCCGCGGGTTATATGCGGGAAAATACGGTACTGTATTCTAAAAGAGCACCCTCCGCTTCTCTACAATTAACTTAGAATCCTCTACAACTGACTGGTCAGTATTTCTGTAACAGAGTATGTTATTTCTTATATCATAGTTAAAATGTAGGCCATAGTTTCTGTCTTGAAAAGTTTTATGTGCTTGGGAAAATTTGGTCAACCATAAGTACAACTCTCAGATAACCAGCATATTTTATTAACCGGAACCCTCCATTCCCCATGGATGCCGGATAACAGAGCTTTTGTTGTATATGGAAATACAAGTAGTTGAAGCCAAATCAAAGCCAACGACACATCCCTAACAGGCTGCTTAGGGTGAGAGCCTTATGGAGACCACTTAATACGACAAATATAACCAGTGATCCCTGAACACCAGTTGGGAATCCCTTTACTAACAGATACAGATGAGCATGCCTTAAAATGGAACCCAACCTCACGAGGATTCCTTTCAGGAGTGCCAATAACCATCAAAGCCATCAAAATTATCAAGCGATGCAAGTGCATCACAATCCATTGCCAGCTTCTCTGCTATACTCTAGATAGATGAGTGTGCATTTGCGGTGGCAGCCGGTCTCACGTGGGTCACGGATGTTCTGCAGCATGGCGACGAACATGTAGTCGACAAGCGAGAGGTTGGCACTGTCAGCGAAGATGGCGTCCCACAGCGCCAATAAGTCTTGCAGGGGGAACTCGCGTCCAAACAGAAGACGTACCCACCGGCTAAAGCAGGCAGTCGGCATTCACATAGTATTGAGACGGAGGTGTCAACCAGAGGCTCCACAGTAATAAATAACGCTGCAACGCTGTGCAACTTGATAATTGGTTCTTTACCCTTCTATCTGGCAACAAAACTGACACCTTTTTGCAAGGAGTCATGTTTGCATAGACCGCAATACCTGCAGTCATAATACAAACAAAAGAACATAACTCTGATAATGTGCACTGTCCCTGAAGTTGATTGGTCCACACCCGAGACAGCTTTCCTTCGAGCCTAGTCTCATATGGGTTGGACCAGATGACGCCTTTTGGCGAAGGAAAGCTGTCTCGGGTGTGGACCAATCAACTTCAGGGACAGTGCACATTATCAGAGTTATGTTCTTTTGTTTGTATTATGACTGCAGGTATTGCGGTCTATGCAAACATGACTCCTTGCAAAAAGGTGTCAGTTTTGTTGCCAGATAGAAGGGTAAAGAACCAATTATCATATTTTTACTGGCAAATGAGGTCCCCATAGTGCTGTGCAACTTATCCAAAACATTAAGACGGGTCTATCTATGATAAACACTTTACATGTATTATTCCAGTTCTCCGGAGGAGTCCCGACTATTACAGACACAGGCCAATTTAAAATAGCTCTGCCAAGTATGCTACTTGAAGTGAGCAGACTTTAAACTCATTAAGAGCGACAGAAAGTAAATATTTTGATGGCAATAAAATTGCATAAAACTACAACAAAGGCACGCACATGCCGTAGATTTGCGGTGCGATCTCCAGGCGCAACAGGTGCATGTAGAGCTCTGTGTCGTGCTGCTTGAGCACTTGGTCGTTGATACGGTTAAGCTTGGTGATGATGGCAATGGAGGGGCTGTTGTCTTGCGGCCGCGCAAACGGGACGGCGTTCACAGTTGGGTCACGACCCTGTAAGCACAGGGGGACACATTCATGCACCACACATCTATTCACAATGTACTTTTCCACCTGTCTAGTGGAAAACACGGTGCTAGACTTGACATTGTAGAAGATATCACATACATTTCAAACTAAAAACCCTCTGGCGAGGTTCGTGGGGTCGTCATCTTACCATGTATTTCTTTCGCTCGGAGTTGGAAAACCAGGGTTCTGCAGTCTCCATTAGTTGTGAGAACAAGGCACTGAAGGAACAAAATAAAAATAAAAAATCTTAGTCTTGGCAGTGCTGCAAAATTTGGATATCATGACATTGTTTTTTTAAAATTATAAACAGTTAAATTAAGCACTCACTAAGCATCATGCTCCAAGTACTCCGGGTTCAAGATGGTTCTCATCTCGTTGCTGCAGAGAGAATTGTGTGGTTAGGAACCGTATTCCTTAAATTTAACATAAAAAAATACATCACTATCAAAATTTACTCTCGATACAACTGCACATCACAAATAATTGCGTCTCTGATAAGTAGCCATGATTGATAGTAATATAACACGTATCATAATTTAAAAAAAACCGGTGCAAGAAGGTAAATAAATTCACCAAGCGCTATCCAATGCCTCAACTGCACACACAAGGATTGTTTTTCGCGGCTCAGCACTACAGTAACTCACGTGGCCTGGGAGAGCTCGGTGGCGTGCAGGAAAGCCTGGTAGTCGCAGTGCAGTACAAACACTATGGGTGCCAGCAGCTCATGCATGCCCTGTGCACAGACAACACCACTTCACTGCATTGACCATTCACAGCAACGTTTCACATTTGGGAATGGAGTATATCACACCCTAACAGGTGTAAACTATAAATAAGTACACTAAAAGCTTAATTGACCATAGTTGTAAATCTCATTGCAAAGACAGGGTTTACATTGATAAAAACGTATCGCCCCACATGCACATTATCTTTACAGTAACAAAGAAATCAAGCCATACAACACCTACAAAAAGATTTGGATTACATGCCAGTCTTGATGTCAGCTCCACACAGGTTTGGCCAGAGAAGTCCCCTTTTTGGGCAGCTATGGGGCAGGACTGGCATACCTGTAAGCATGACACGTTTTTCTAATAATCTGGCATCATATGTTGCTGTCAAAGAAGTTTTTAAGTGTGTAAAATGTTATGAGTGGCTATGGCACACCTGTCTGTACAGCAGATGCTCGTTCTCACGGGCAAAACAGAAGAGAATGTCTGTAAGAAGTTCCTGCACCCGCTCCTCTTGGAAGTACTGGATCTCGGGAAACCTGCAAGTTGCATGAATCACATTGCCTTCATATATGTGGACTGCAAAATGTTAAGCAAATGGTGCGCATGTGCCAGCAAATGCAAACACATTTTTTAGATGGAGGCAGATAGGTAAGAATAATAATGCCAACCAGACTCACGTGCGAGTTACATCTTGCTCAATAACTGCACGCAGTTCCTTGTCCTGGAAAAACCGGTTCCAGGGACTCTGCAAGAAGCATTATATAGCAGACGAGTTAGTGGCTGTTTTCACGTTTATAGCTGGGTGCAACAAAAATGTATTACTCCGGGTAGAGGCTTTGTATTGCATAAAACATGAAAGCTTCATGTGGCTGTGGGTGATTAACTAAGGGGAGCGGTGCCGCAATGCAGAGTACAATATGCTCTTAAGTTGTTGACCCGAGTTTGATTGTTGGTCATGGCAAACAACAGTAGTGAGTGGTATCTGAATCACTCCATGTCACTACCGTTTCACCAAACCATACTGAACAGCGTGGTAAAGTATGGTCTAACAATTCCCATGACCGATAGCAGTGGATTTCATCGGGCTGAAAATTATACGTGTTAATTTAATTCCATACATACTTAAGTTATGCATGATGAAGAGGGGAAGGGTGATAGAAACAATAACATTACTAAATGCACTTTAACTTTTAACCAGCAGAGGAAATTATCAGTAGTGCCTAATAGATGGTTGTAAATTGGTCTTTGAATACCTCTTCTGCTTGTGATAGAGGGTTGTTGATGTTCAAGTCTTTCTCTCCTGCCTCCTTCCTGGGGTTTGTGATGTGCTGAACACACGCAGACAATGGCAGCAGTATGTAGAAAATCAATATGGATCAATACAATGAGATGTATTCAGTCCAATAATGCACAGCTATTATCTGAAATGTATATGGGCATTCCGTTGTGGTTTGTTTAGTCTATGTGTGTGGAACACCAATGACTGACTAAAAAAACTCCACTCTGAAATCAAGTCACATGCATTCAATTGATTATACACTGGTCACACTTTTTCTGGCATAAGGTATTCCAACGGTTTTAATGTAATTTTGGGGTGCTGATTCCAAATCTGGCATCAGTTTTTGTCTATCCCATCAGGTTTTTGAGATATAAAATATTGCATTTGCAATCAAAACTGCAGAAGAAAAATATTAAATAAATGTGGATATCTACATAAAATGATATTATAAACACACTATCCTAAAAATAAAGCACCATATTTTAACACTAAAGCAGTCACTGACTCGCAATAACTTGCAATCATAAGTGACAGAGTTAATTTCGGGTAAAATCAATGAAAATGGGGTATGCCGATAGCATAAAAATGATGTGATATAGTAAATCTGAGATCAGATTTGGAATCAGCACCCTCAAATTAGTCTAAAACAGCTGCAAAAGTCCAGGCCAGAATTTTTTTTTGTTGACCAGTGTTATGGAACAAGTACAGCTAAGGTATCAGTACAATGCTGTGCAGGGAACCATGAATTCCCACCATGAGCTTGATTTGGTCGTACTGCTGCCTCAGTTCCTCAGTTATCTTCACCCACAACTCTCTGTCATCCGGCAAGCACTTCAGGTACATCTGCAGAAAGACAAACCCGTTGCACAACGAGATTCGGAAACCAGTTGCCTCATGCCATCAAAAACGAATGCACACTAAGAATGCAGCAGTGTCTCAAAGTGCTTAACAAAACGCACGGTAATAACAATGCAACAGGGCCGTGGTGCGGAAAATGGAAAATAACCAAAAACATAATAAAGAAAATTATTTAACTGGGATGGAGCAAAGCTATGTGTGGTGTGCATGCGCATGCTTGCTTGGTGTGTGCTCGTACCTTCCAGCACACGCTACGGAATCGGCTGCTTCTCAGCTGGCCCTTCATGCCACGCTGCCGCACTCGAGAAACATGCTCCTGATCGTCAAACATCCTCACCCACTCCTGCCTACCAGTGCCAGCAGAGCATGACAGCAAACAGGCATGTCAAGATCACTCAAACAGACTTAGCACATCATCCACCAGTACACCTTGCAAGGTTACCATGTATCACACAGCACAACAGTATAAATCATGACCATCTCAAGTTAAAAATGATATCAAAGCATAAACACTTGGATGCGGTATGTAACCAAAAAGGTAGATTTTTTTATGCACCTGTATGAATCGGCAGTGTTGTTCTCAACATCAGATTCCAGGCACGGTCCACCCACTTCTTCTCCTGATGATGATACACATTCAAAACATTCAACTAATTCCAGCCATAGCTCAGTCGTAAGCCATTGTATCAAATATATATAAGAGTACCTTATGTTTAAAATGAGAAGTAAAAAGTCATTCAGGCGTAAAGTTTTAACGTTGAATGTTAAATATTCAAATAACACAGTAAGTGCACACAGTTTTCTTCACTTTTAGTCCGACACCTACCTCTCTCGGATTGCAGGGGGTGCCAGGACTGTCCACTGCTCCACTCGCCATGTCCAGGTTGCGTATGCCTGGCCTCGCAAGAGGAACCTCCATTGTCCCTGCTCTGCATTTCTGCAACTGCACACAGCTGATGGTGTTGAGATTTTAAGAGGCAGTTATTGCTGTAGTGTTAAGCACAGCCAGGCAGCATGGCAAACAACTGCGTAGCTCGAGTTTTACAAACCAACATGACCAGCACAATTCGTTGCCTGTGACCCCATGATTGAGCCCTCTTTATGTTTACAAAAAAAATCAACATTCTTAGATTAAGCTATATTTAAAGGTAAGCCATTGGTCACAGAAACAACGTGTGCACTGTCTTTCATTACAATTATTGTATAATATGATTGTCCATATAAAAGCAATGTATTGAAAGTGAAAACAGAATTATAATGTATAAGCATAAGAAGTTGTAAAGGAAAAACATTTCAACAATGAAACGTATCTTTAACACAATTTTGTTATATCCCAAACAGTGCATATTTTGAAGAAAACTTATGTAAATTCTTTAAATAGCACGCTTATCGCTAAAGGCATTATTTTAAATCCTTAAATATTGCCAATAAATAGCATGTATTCGAATATATGTACTCATAGATGAAGGGTAGAATGGGTTTGCACTGGAGTATGAAATTAAGCCTCACTAAAAGCTATGGAGCATTGTCCCAAGAGTCAAGATCACTCACTTCTGTAGTTTAAGAACATCATAAATCAATGCTGGGGTAGCAAGTTATACAATCACACTTCAGCTTAAATAGGCACTGTACAAGTTGTTTCATTATTTCAGCAGGAACATAGTGCAACTGTGCTGTGATAAAATTACTTTGCATGAATAATACATTACTGAAATCGTAATCTCTGATATACATGGTCTTCCTTGTGGATGTATTTACAATAAACTGCATTAAGGTTGGAGTGTAATCGCAGCGCAATGGCAGGTGCATTGCACTATGAACTAAGTAATCGGAATTTGATTTTTAGCCATGCATAGCGTCAGTGGCAAGTGATAATGAAACCGGCCCTGGGTCCCAAAGCACTTCACCGCAACCTCCACTGGCCAGCGTGCCATGCAAGGTGAAACATCATTCGTGGGCCAACACGGTGTTCAAAGGCCTTCATTTAATAGTGGAATGACAAAGGGCTGAAACTTGTTATTACAGTATTTCTTTTTGTACTCTTTACTGTCGATATTACACCTCCGATTAGCACGGTTGGCTATGTACGTTGCGAAATAATTTCAACATACATGTAGTATTTAAATCCAGGTGCTATTGAATCACATTTACTTAACAGAGGAAGCACTTTAATTCAGTGCATGCCAGGTGGAAGATGACTTGGTGGATTTGTTGTGAATTTCGGACACCATAAAAACATGTTTACTAGTTTACACCACTCCTTGGAAAATATTAAAAATATATTTTCCCAATGCAAACGGACAATGATATACGGTAAAACAAAATTAAGTATTCTCTATACTGTATTATGCAGTCAGCACGTATCTTTAAATCACTTAGTTGTGTTGCTATTAACATAAACTCGTTTTGCGGATCAATAAAGTGTTCATACACTTTACATTTTTACGCCTCACATGCCCAAGGGCTTATGATCTACTTGGAGTTGATGAATTGTGGAAAATATCATCTCGGTGCAAACAATGCGAGCTCAGATTTTTTAAAATAGACTTTTACCCCAATTTAACGCAATTCGTGCTGCTGGCGTCATGTCAGCAGACGAATGCATCGCGTCTCTGCTCAACCGGTGTCGCTCATCAAAGTTGGCACGCGTGGCTGAGCCCGCGGTGCTATCACGTGTGAGGGCCAGTCCCTTCAAAAGGATAACCACTGTTGACTCCTACAAAGAGATACTCCTACTACATCTACCCCAGAGGGAGAGGGTGAGTTTAATTAACACCTAAACGGGATATGAACTCGCAAACTTAGGCCTGCAAGATGGAACTACATGATCGCAGTTGCATCCAACGGATCTATTTTAATTACAATTGCATACATATGGGGGTGGCATCAATCCAAGAGTTAACAAAACGACGTGTATACATGGCAACTTGACAAGGCAATACACGGAACGGCCTGGCCAAGCCACGGAAAACACTGCGCAATACAGAGGGTAGAACTGAAACCGGCAGACCATTTGCCGTAACCAAAAATGCAATTTCGGGTCTTTAAACTGGCGTTGACATCGGAGGGCAGCTTTAATCCTGTTCAATGTAAACGATTAATGTAATTAGTCGTTTACATTTTTATTTAAAACTTTAGTGACTGCAGGAATTCATATTCTTTGGTTCTTTCGGTATTTTTTTTATGATTTTCTATCCACGTGACTTTACCGAAAGAACCAAAGACTATAATTAGTCGTCCTTAACAATCTTCCAAAACCGAAGCCCTAAATAGCTTCTCGATTCTGAGAATTTGCGGGCTCTCCAATACGAATTGGAAGCCTTGTTAGCTTTAAAAGTTATCTTCCCTCCTAAAGAAACTTCAAACTCTCGTATCGTGCAGTCACTTACACGGCGCGCTTCTACAAGAGGCTCTACGTCTGGGGTTGCGTCTATATCATCATGACCACTTAATGTTTCTATGTTGGGGGCAGTCTAACCATAGATTACCGACTGCCTTTCCATTAAGCTGTATCTCCGTTCATTTTAAGGAACGGTACCGATGCAATGCGGTGAAGCATCCCATTGCTGCAGCGGCAACAACAAACGCAAAGCAGCTGGTGGCAGGGAGGGGGGGGGGGGCAGCGGCCACCCTTGTTCCGCGAACGGAGGCGCCCCCTCGCCGGCGGAACTTCCAGGTAAGCCAGGGGGGCCCGACATGAGGCCTACCTCGCCGAGCCGCTCTTCCGATGTCTCTCACTCGCGGCGACCGGTTACGCCGTTTTCCCGAGGCCGGGCGGATCAGTGCAGGGGAGAGTAAGTGACGCAAAGAGGGCGAGGGGCCGGTGGGGCCGGTGGGGCCGGCGAGGCTGGTGGGTTCGACGGTGTCGGCGCGAACAGGACGACCAACCCCGCTCTAAATCGTCTCCATCGCCGCTTTATAATTCCCAGAGCGGATAGACGCGCGTGCCGCGTCCTATTGGCTGGGAGTTTAACCGCGTGACGTTTTACAACGACGCGGAGAGCCAATCAAGAGCGGCCGCGCGCGTTTCTAACCCTCATTTAAATGAGATGGGGGCGTGGCGCTGCGCATCAGCTGTGCGGGGTGTGGGGGGGGTGTATGGGGGGGGTGTGGGGGGGGTAGGGGGGGCGGTGTGGGGGTGTAGGGGGGGTGTATGGGGGGGGTGTATGGGGGGGGTATGGGGGGGTGTATGGGGGGGGTGTATGGGGGGGGTGTATGGGGGGGTGTGTATGGGGGGGTGTATGGGGGGGGGGGTGTATGGGGGGGGTGTATGGGGGGGGTGTATGGGGGGGGGGGTCTTTGTCTTTGGTGTTGGGGGCGTGGTGGTGGGGGGGGTGTTTGGGTGACGGGTCACGTGCGCTGCCGGTCACGTGCGCGGAAACCGGGTCACGTGCGCGCGATTTCCGTGCAGTCGGTGGCGCGTGGGGGGCCGTAGGCGACCAAAGGTGACCGACGCAGCCCCCCCCCCCGACTCAGCCTCAGGTGGTGGGGGGCCCCTTCGTCACTAAGAGGGAGGAGGGTGCTATAACAAGAGCCCCCCCCCCTTGATCAAGAAGGTCTTTGTCCTCACTCTTCCACGCTGCTCAGACGTCTCAGACGGAAGTGGGTACGGGGGTGCCCGCACACTTTGGGTCGCTGCCGATCGACTTATCCCGTGATGTTGACGCAGCTATTAGTATTATTATTATTGCGTTGTTTTTAAATCACTGTTGCTGAGCAGCACACAAACAAAAAGATCGTCGGAAACGTCAAGGGGACAGCAACAGACGGCACAGTGAACGTGTTAATGTGACACGTTTTTGGGAAAAGAGACGATGGGAGGGAATTCTAAAAGTGGAAATAGAAGCGGGATAAAGTGTGTTGGGAGTTGAACTCTGTGTGTGAGTCGAAACTGTGTCTCGTAGACGCAAGTCCTCCTCCACATGGTTGGTGGAGGAATCAACCAGGTACATTCACGGAAACGATAACCACGGCAGTAGCTAAATTTAGATTTAAAGCTTTCGTGACTGCAGGGATTCATATTCTTGGTTCTTTCGGTAAAGTCACGTAGAAGGGAAATAATAAAATAATATAAATATTAAACAATACAAATTCTCACGACGTTTCGACTGCAACACAAGCAATCATCAGGTGTGAAATCCACGGCAAGAATTTTTTTTTCAAATTTTCTTCTGTAGATTTCACACCTGATGATGATTGCTTGTGTTGCAGTAGAAAAGTCGTGAGAATTTTAATTGTTTTATATTCATATTTTATTATTTCCCTTCTACGTGACTTTACCAAAAGAACCAAGAACACGACAGTAGCGTTAAGAGAGTGAAAAGTGTGCGCGACTGACTGCCGGTGGATCAGTCACCCTGCCTGCTCTACTCAGAATGCCTGCACGTGTAGTTGGCTCGGAACTGGGTGCTCCATCTCGGATATGACAGCAGGATTCCAACTTAAGTGAATGTGTGCTTTGTAAAGTAGTAATAATTATTTCACAGGCTTTGGCACGGAAAATAAAAGATGAGTTGATGCCTGCTTGACCAGATTACTCATACTACCTGTATAGCCATTCCATGACCGGTGAGATATGATTGTTGTGCCAAACTAGCAGATTAATAGGTTTACCATGACTCAGAATATTGTTACATTTTCAGCCTTACGTGATACAGTTATTAATTACTTTTTTTACGTTGAATGGGAGCAGGTTATTGTCACCCCAATCATTTTTTCCAGGCAGTGATGATTGACAGTTAAGTATCTGCGCGTTGAGCAGCTAAATGTGCATCACTTTAAGCGTGTGATATAAATAAGTATGATTTGTACTGTTAACTGCGAAGGAGCGGATCATTTTGTGAGTGGAAAATAAGTCATAAATACAAATAATGTGGAAGGCAGAGCGGCATTGTGGAATATTAGGTTGACTGTGGCAGGAGGATAAAAAAAACCTGAACGATTGTTTCCATGATTTATTGCAGTCGGGCACGATATAAATACAATGTGAATCCAGTTAGTGAGTTCGATATCGCGTGTCCACAAAAACGGTACACCAAACAGAGAACACTTATCTTTGCTTTAGGTACCACACACCCAGCACATTCAGGTCCAACATGATTTGACTCGGATCGGTTTGTTGTCTACACAATTCCTGACCAGAGAAAAAAGAACACATGGAAGAAATGGGGGATGAGTTTTGGTGGTCGATGCGCAAGCTTGAGGACCTGGTGGAGTTGTACAAAAGCAGCCCTTGCCTCTACGACACGATGCTGCCGGACTACAACAACAAATGGAAACGACAACAAGCTCTGGAGTTCATGGCACAATCACTTGGAACTAATAGTAAGGCTGCGTGTATAGTCATAATATATATTTTATTAAATGTTATTTAACTGCTGGATGAAAGTCATTCGGCTTAACCGCACTAGTCAGCACAGGTTGGTGAATAGACGACCCAGGGGCCTGAGTACAGAAAAAGTGTGAATCCGCCAGGCATTGATTGTTGGATGTTCCAAATGCACTGGTTTATAGTAATGTTTACCAACAAAGTCAGGTAAAATCATTGACTTGCGAGCTTGGGCAGCACATCGCTAGAAGCATGGTGGCTTGTGCTTCAGGCTTAACGTTGGAAAGGGAACACGACCGAAAGTACCCCTACTGTGGAAATAAAACGGTGAAATCAGCCAATGCAGATGTGCTAAATAGATTATATTTCAGAACCATGGTTTGGTGAGGCTTTCATTCAGCAGTGGATCGATCGTGGCGAATTATTATTAAAGTTGATCAGCGTATAAATCATCCTTTTGTTTTTTTTTACAGAAATTGAGGTCGCCAGAAAAATCAGAAATCTGCGCACAGTCTATTCAAGAAAGAAAAAAGAGGGCAAAAGCAGACAAAGTGTAGATGGCGGGGGTGATGCTTCAAGGCAGACTTGGTGGCTGTTGCCACATCTGGAATTCTTGGATAACTTTGTTGGCTGTAAGAAGACCATCTCTAATATGAAGGTACGCACTTTAATCCCGCATGGTGACCACTTATTTTTTACCAGGTGACTTAAATGATCTCCGGATTAAAAAAACTTGCAAAATATATATCCTTTGGTTCTTTGGGTAAAGTCACGTAGGTATAAAATAAAATAAATCACGACGTTTCGATTGCAACACAAGCAATCGTCATCAGGTGGGAAAACTACAGCAAGAAAACTAATTCTGCTGTAAAAACAATTTATTGCTGTGGTTTTCCCACCTGATGATGATTGCTTGTATTCCAATCGAAACGTCGTGATTTATTTCATTTTATACCTACGTGATTTTACCAAAAGAACCAAAGAGTATGGATTCCTGCAGTCACGAAAGCTTCAAATCTAGATTGCATCTATATCATGTTCTCTGCTGCAAGAGAACACATTTTCATCTTAATCGGTTTAAGCCTGCCAACCTGTAGATTTCATTACCTCTTGTTTTCTAGCTTGATGTCAGTTATAATGTCATTGTTTGAGCCCTTGACATTTATGTATACATGCCCTTGCCGAGGCTCAGTGCAGTGCACGAGCCAATACAATCCACGGTTTTTGCAGGAACAAGAGCGATCGGATTGGTGTAGACAGGGGTTTGTAGTAATTTCCAAAATCAGTTTTAACTCTTGGTTGTGCAATTATGGAGTTGACAGTTCAAAATATACGTATGCTTTGTCAATCCCGGACCCCCATAAGGTTTCAACGGGTATTTGTGCATAAAAGGGGTAATTGACCACAACCAAACATGGCATTGCCTGGCAGCATCTTTGGTTTAGGGTAGGGAACTTTTCATTATGGAGAGCTAAATATAAATTTCTCATACATGTTGTTGGGTTATGCATTATTTAACAAAAAATACTAGTTGAAAGACAGGTATAGTATTTGACTTAGAAAATTACAAAGAGTGTTTGCAAGCACACAGTGCAGTTAAGACGCTTGTAGTGGTGGATAGTTTGCTGTGCATTTTGAAATGGTAAGTTTCATTTGTATGTATGTATGTTTAACTTATTTCTCAGTGTACGCTGATCGAGCCTTATAAGATGAAGTCGTAGGTTCCTCATTTCTGGTGTAGGGAGGTTAAAAGTTCCGGAGAGACTGCACATACGGAAACTCTTCCGTCATATGCGGACATTGAACCCTATATCTTTGCAGGTGAAATTTAGTCTTTCAACAAGTATGAGGCATTGCAAAAATTTACTGCACATCAACTAAAGCCATTTCATGGCATACGAATATAGATATACGTGTAACTTGTTATCCATCCAACCATACACAGTAGATTAGACCATTGCCTGTGGGAGGATGAATAAGCAAACATATCCATCCAGGGCACCATTCGTTGGTTTGAAATTCCAGCATGATGTGACAGTTGTAAATGTGTAGCTACTTCTCCAGTGTGCTAGCCATCACAGAATTATGAAAAAATATACTTAGTTTAATACTTTAATGGATTACATGTTTATGTACAGATGGAATATGTCGACAACGAGAGCAGTCAAGATGTGGAACAGAGGTCTGATCAAGATGAAGCTGATCTACCAACCAAAACTAGAAACACCACAGAGATTCCAAACAGCCCAACTTCAACCCCTGAATTTACATTTCATAGGCCACAAGGCCCAAAGCAAAGGCCCAAAGTTAAAGAGAACAAACTTGGAGAAACAGACAGTCAGATAATGGAATTGGCCATTAAAAGTATGGATACATACTTCGCAAGGCCATTTAAGGAGGATGAATTTGATGTGTTTGGCCAATTTATTGCCAATGAGCTACGTTCCCTTCCATTAATTGAAAGTCGGCGTTTAAAATATAACATTCTTGCTGCTGTTCAGGAGGCACACTCGCCACATCAATGTTCGTACACATCACACACAGAGCACATTGCCACCACAGCAGTCCCCATACATTCCATGCAGAGTGCACCACCAACACAACCCCAACAAAAGTCCCCAAGACAACTTCCGTGAACCAGTTACCATCCTACTGTTCCTCAAAGTATACACGTTTAATGGTTGTTACCCATTATGCATTATTTTGCGTTCATTCTATTTTAAATGTATGAAAATACTGTTTAGTTGCTGTGCTTAATTTTTTTTGCATCATCACCCGTGTCATGCTGGGTGTGGCTTGTAGGGGATTTCCCACCTTCAGGAGGCAGGCAGCATGTCAGAGCAGCCATTTTTTACTGGCCTAATGAACCACAATAAAGGTGATTTCACACACACGCCATATATAAATATCGTCTATATATATAGAACACAATAATCTTCGGTTCTTTAGGTCAAGTCACGTAGATAGGAAAAATAAAAACATGACGTTTCGGTCGCAACACAAGCGTCCGTCATCAGGTGAGAAAGAATGATCTGCTATTGTGGCTTTATATAAGCACGGGAGAGGGGGGGTAGAGTCGCGGCTGCAAGAGTTCACGGGAGAGGGGGGAGGGTTTGTGGCGTGCAGGGACGGGTGGGGGCTGGAGAAATTGGCTTGTCAATGAGCTTGAATTAGTAAACGAAACCGGCACTGGTGGGCGAGTCAAAATCACAGCAGTTAAAACTTGACTTGGTGTATCACGTCCTTCCAATGATTGCTCAATCTAAATCCATCTTCTCAATTAAAGTTTTGTCTCTGTATATCTGGATTGCTTGGCTTCCTGGATGTTTTGATCGAGAAGAGAGACCTGATGGCTCGTTGGGACTGTCTATAGGAAAGCCACCCACACGGATTCCTATCTAAAGCCCGACTCCCACCACCATCCAGCTCATAATTCCCTCAGCAAAACACTACACCATAGGGCTCCTTGCATCTCCGACCAGCACCACCTAGCCAGTGAGCTTGAGCACGTACGCCAGGCTCTCATGAGGAATGTATATTCTGACCGCACAATCCGCAAAGCTGCATCCCCAACCATGGGTAGAGAACCATCTGAGGACCCAATCAAAACCATCACCTTGCCATACATAGCAGGGGTCACCAAAAGGATTTCCAAAATCTTGAACAAACACAAGATCCAAGTTTGGTTCAATACGGTACATAAAATCCGTGATTTGATCCCATCGGTGAAGGATGTGATTCCGGACATGCACTGTCTGGTGTCGAAAAACTGAGTTGTGTCTGCAGCAGCAGTTACATTGGTGAAACATGTCTCAGACTGGGTTCGCGAACACAAAGCGGATTTGAAACTAGGTAGAACCAACACCTCGGCGGTGGCGGATCATTGTTTCAACATTGTGGGCACACATGACATTGTTTTCTCCGAGACCAAGGTGCTCTGCAAACCCTCGAGCTACCATCAAAAACTTTAATCGAGAAGATGGATTTAGATTGAGCAATCATTGGAAGGACGTGATAAACCACGTCAAGTTTTAACTGCTGTGATTTTCCCTCACCCACCTGTGCTGTTTTGGTTCACTAATTCAAGCTCATTGACATGCCAATTTCTCCAGCCCCCCACCTGTCCCTGCACACCACACCCCCCCCCCCCCCGCTGAACTCCTTCAGCCACGACTTCACAAACCCCCCCCCCCTGCCGATATAAAGCCACAGCACAAGATCATTCTCACCTGATGACGGACGCTTGTGTTGCGACCAAAACATTGTGTTCTTTTATTATTTTCCTATCAACGTGATTTTACCGAAAGAACCAGAATATGGATTCCTGCAGTCACAAAAGCTTCAAATCAAGATAAAACACAATCAACTCACTTGCTGATTTGGTGTTTTATTGCAATAAAATCTGACCAAAAAAATTGTGCTTTGTGTGTGAAAACAAATTAATGTGGCAATAATGAAGCAAGTGTTGTGATGGAAACTGAGAACCTTTGACAGCATCGCATCCCATACAAACTGAAAACGAATTTCTTTTTGTGTTGAGTTGTCCTTCCCCTGCACCTCCGATTAGCATGGTTGGCTACAATTTCTGACTTTAACATCCTGCTAATTATCTCACATTAACACAGCTTATTCAATGCTAAATTCTTCTGTTGATATTTAAACTCCTTTGTCAAGGTGCTCTTCTCCCACCCAGCTTAAATACGTTGCCAAGCTTAGCAGTGCGCTATCTTTCAGACAGCTCTGTCTTCAACCTGAGGACGGCTGCTTGTGTTGTGGCCAAAACGCCGTGAGAATTTTATTTTGTTTTATTTTTATTATTTTATTATTTCCCTTCTACGTGACTTTACCGAAAGAACCAAGAAGATGGTTGGCTACGTCGGGTGCGAAAGAAGTTTTACATATATCAGCTGAAATTGCAGTGCCCTCGCATGTGCTGCTCTGGTAAAGTAGATCTGTTATACTCCGTTATCTATTACTATCTTAAAAATGTTTTTTTGTGAAGACAAATATGGGAAAGAGGAATATTGTCAACTTATTTATTTAATTAATTGCATTCTCTAATGATGCTTTTGATTATTTTACGTGAACGACTGCAGTACAGCTTTTAGACGAGTGAAATCCTAAAATATATCCAGCCTGCAATGTTAATTATGTATTTTCATAATTAAGTTAATACCAACTTTTAAACAAGATATATTTGAATATTTATACATTGGGGTCCTTTTCGGAAACAAACAGTTACACAGAAATCCAGGGATATATTTTCATGACATCAAACACATTAATGGCAAGTTCGTGCTCATTTTGTATAAGCAAAAATCTAAAGTAATCATTTGCATGAGCCCCAAATAGTTTTTTCACACGTCCCAGCACGAACCACCACTGTTAAACGGTGCTGAACGCTTCACCTCGACACTGCCGCTGTGATTTGGCAGCAGGGGCCAACAACGATCTTTAACGGTTGTCGGCACCGGATGTGCTCTGCCCGGCCCCGTCGCAAAGCTCGGAGGTGTCTAGTGACACAGAGACGTCGCCCTCGTCCGGCACGCGCTCGAGCGTTTTGTCGCTCGACTCCTCCAGCGCGTCGATGCTCTCGTCCGCGGCCTCCTCGGCCTCCCCCTCCTCCTCCACGTCCATCTCGAACATGCGCACGTGGCGGAGGTTACTGCTCAGCTGAGAGCCACACAAAAGCAGACTCAACATTTCCTCACCAAACCTTCGATACCCAAAACGGTTCAAAAGGGACTCTGAACGGTAAAGTAGACTGTGAAGATAGACAAATATCAATGCACCCGGGGCTTCATTTCTCACTGAATATATTCCAGGTTGGCTGGTAGACTGAAGGTATTCCGGAATAGTTGCAATAGCCAAAGCGAGAAATGATGGATGCGCCGCGCTGGGTGCGGAAATATTTTCCAGGTTGCTTATCTGGGCAGACCCGGCTCGAATTATGCCAAGTACACAAAAATCTCTTATACATCAAACGTTTGTTATTTTAAATTCTCATATCAAGTCTAATATTTTCGACAAATGGCAATGTTTCATACTTCTCCTGTTTTGCGTTTGTGGTTTTATCCTCAAAAGTATACTTCACGGCAATTTTAACAATCGCACAGGCAAATCACGACACACAAAAAGAACAATAGCTGACATTTCCCACGATGGTTACGTCACTGCCACATCTGATACATTTTAGCAGTGTTTAAAACACACAGATTCGTGGACTTTGAAACTACAATGACACATTTTAAAAATACTTCCAGCAAGGGTGCCATCATATCAGTCCAGGACAATTAGACCATATCCATGAATCCCCAAATCATAACCCGACGCACGTGCCGCCTTCCCCCCCCACCACCTCCCCTCGAGGAAAGGAACCCCTCTAGCCTGCACCCACCACGCAGGAAACGTTGCGGATGCCGTTGACTGAGACGAACCGTGCCTTCATGTTCTCCATCCTCCTCCACTGGTCCACCAAGGTCACCACGTGCACCGGGATACTGCCCTTCTGCTCCTCCAAACTGCAGCAGCATGGCATTGGCAACATTACCCCCGTCAAAAACACAATCTGGACAGTTACACTAGGTGACATGCTACGTTCAAAACAAGAAATGATTGTCGGGGCTATGTAGTAACCCAAGAATTCCAATCTTTTTGGAAAGTAAAAAATATTTCGGGTGATGTGAAAAGTGAGGACTTGGGCAAGACACGCCAAGAGGGGATGACGGCCGGTGTTGAGACTTATGATGTAGTGGCAACAAAAGGCAAGTATGCGCTGGAGAGGACAACTACCAAGGAGATAGAGCGATCAAATTAGCTCGCATGCACGAGCGAGATCAATTGTTGCATCACAGAACCAATATGGAAACAGCTTAGGTAGATCTTCATCTATCAGTGGATAGATCATGGCCGATGAAGGCAAGAGCCGGACTTGCACGTCGCACAATCACTCGCCTCGTTTTAAAGCTGCAAGATTGCAGTGACAGCTGCTGCTCCTGGTCCCTGTACACCGAAGCGAACGGGACCTGAGCCAGCAGCGGTCCTTTCTCCTCTCCGCCGTCTTCCTCCAGCAGCAGCACACTCAGCGTCTGCCCATCATAGAACTTGGCGTCCACCACCCTGTGTTTACTGCAACACGGAGGAAGAACACAGCCGTGGCATGCGGTGAAGCTCTCGCGAAACTGCAAAGTGCAGCACAGAATGCGTGAGTTGTGGAGGGGGGGGGGGGGTGTCACCTCTTTGTGTCGTCCACTCGCTCGCTACGTTTCCGCTTCATTCGGCCCCAGAACTCTAACGCAACCAGCTGAAGGGAGCCAGGAATTTCATTCCTGGGAAAAAAATGCATCGTTTCTGTCAGCTGATAACATTAAATGTGCAGTTATTTTCGTGAATGCAAGCAGTAGTAATAGTCCCAATTAACCTTGTTCTACAGTGTAATAAGTTAAACATCTTTTCAATGAGAGTACACAGATGAATACCCTCACGTTACTACGGTTAATGTCTAAAAATATCTTCTTCCTCCAACTTACGATCCCTAGCAGACTGTGGGGTTGGGGTCTGCGCCTACGTTGGTCTTTGTGTGTGTGTAGCGCTGTCCGGAAAAACAACCCCCTACCTCCTCGTTGGCGCCAGACAGTAAAGCTGTGGTGAGCAGTGCCATGGGGGGGAGGGGAAATTTAAATTGGCCATTCGCCTCATGGTGTTCGTAACCAGCACAGCAGCCAAATGGGGGCTCATTACCACAAAACCACGTGAAAAATATTCAGCTAAGCTTGTGTCGGAGGGCCCGAGGGAACGGGTCTATGACATCTCCTGGCCAAACCCCATTTGGCGGAGCCAGGAGACTGAATCCTTACCCTTGGGGTTCCTCAGAAACAACAAAAATCCACTGCGGGTGGTCACATGGAATGTTCGAACGCTCGCTGTGGAGTAGACGCTGCCACTTCTCTGTCAGGAGCTGGACTGGTACACCTGGATCTCTGCAGTATTCAGGAGGACTGGTGGACTGGCTCTGGCTTCTGATACCATGAGGGGTGGACAGTCCTCTACTCGTGGCAGGAGACAGCCAAACAACAGGGAGTGGCTCTTCAGAACAAAAGAATGAAGGGGGTGTGGGAGCGTGACGGTGAGGTGTGGGAAGCTGGAAGCCCCAGGCTACTTTGGGCTCGTGTTCCCATCAACCAGAGACAAGGAGTGATGGTCGTGGTTATTTATGCCCCCCAAAGATGAACATCAGTGGAGGGATGCAGGCAAGGCCGCTGAGTCAGATGCTTTCTATAACCTACTGTCACAGGTGCTAGCTAAAGTTGCCCCTCGGGATAGAGTCATCTTGTTGGGTGACTTTAATGCCCAAGTTGGTCATGATGCTGGCACCGAGTCTTGAGTGATTGGAAAGCATGGGCCAGATCAGCTCAATAACAACGGTAGGAGGCTAGACTTTAGTGCAGCCCATGGGCTTGTAATTACCAACACGCTGTTCCGGCATCGGCGCATCCACACAACATCATGGATGCATGCCGGGTCCAAGCAAGAACATCTGCTGGACTACAGTGATGGAACAGTGGATGCGGGCCCATGTCCTTGATACCAGGACCTACTGTGGAGCAGATCTGCCCACTGACCATCGGCTTGTCACCTGTAAGATACACCTGCCATTCTACCACTCCGGTGGTGGGTGTACACCCAGGACCCCATTCAAATCCAGTGGCCTGGTTTCAGCTAGCTGATGAAAGTTGCAAGCGAGAATTTCATCATCGCTTGCAGCTGGTGTTGGCATCGTCCCCAACTCCTTCCGATGCCGAGGGGAAATGGGCGAGGTTTAGGACTGTGGCTCATGCAGCTGCAATGGTTGCTTTGGGTATGAGTTTGTGTTTTTGTGTTCCACGTGGCCACTCTTAAAGGTTACCGGGCACGTGTGGAGTCTGTGGTGGTCCGCATGAGGATGAGGGATGAGGTGGGAACGGCGCCCACAGAGTAGACCGCGTACTGCTGAGAGGCATCTTCGTCGCTCCAGCTGTGTCCCCCGACCGATCGTCACACACACACACACACACGTACACACACACACACACATGCACCCGCACGACACCACAGCGCTATCTCGTCAGCATTATCTGTGACTACAAGACAGTAAGAGATATAATTTCACTAACATTTACTCAGCTATATTTGTTCGCACCTCCGAGTCATGCTCATTTGCGTCCGTGCAATATTGTGTGCATTATAAATTGTAATGTGCTGCTGTGTTCTACACATTGATGCATTTACTCACAAAGACAAGCAGAATGACCTTGTGTCCTCTCTGTAAAACATGTAAACAGGCAGCCATATTCAACCGAGAAGTAATAAAAATTCATAATTACTCGCTTTTTCACATCAGTTGCTGTTAATTCGTTTTAGTATCCACTTGATGTCGGTGGAATTCACAAGCATGCTCCCACCTGGCCGGGTGTCTGAACAGGACTCCCTCGACGCACTCACACAAGGAGCCGCTGATCACCTCCTGCAAGGAACAGCATTGTCGCTGGGTTGTCAAAACTCATAGTATAGCAATTAACAATGTATATAATCTTGATTTGAAGCTTTCGTGACTGCAGGAATCCATACTATTTGGCTCTTTTGGTAAAGTCACGTAGGTATAAAATAAAATAAATCACAACGTTTCGGGTGCAACACACTACACCATAGGGCCCGTTGCATCTCCGACCAGCACCACCTAGCCAGTGAGTTGGAGCACGTACACCAAGCCCTCAGGATGAACGGATACTTGGACCATACAATTGGCAAAGCTGTCTCTCCAGCTATGGGGAGACAATCTTCTGAGGATCCAACCAAAACCATCACTTTACCATACATAGCAGGGGTTACCAAAAAGATTTCCAAAATCTTACCCATACACAAGATCCAGGTTCGTTTCAACAGTACACAATCTGTGATTTAATCCCATCTATAAAGGATGTGATTCCTGACATGCAATACCATGGTGTCTACAAACTGAGTTGTGGTTGTGGCAGCAGTTACATTGGAGAAACGAAAGAACATGTCTTGGACCGCGTTCGTAAACACAAGCAAGATCATTGTTTTAACGCTGTGGGTTCACACGAAATAGATTTTTCCAAGACGGAGGTACTCTGCAAACTTACTGGCTACCTTCAGAGATTTGTTCATGAAGCCATCCAGATATATAAACACAGACACAACTTCAACCGAAAAGATGGGTACAAACGGAGCAATCATTGGAAGGACATTATTAACCAGGTAAAGTCTTAACTGACTGTGATGTTTCCATCCTACCTGCCTATGTCAGCTGTTATTTCCGACTCTCTGTCTCTCTCTCTATGTCCCTCTCTCTTAGATCTCTCATGCTCGCATGTCCTTTGCATTGCACTCATGCCTTTGAATTGCACTCTCATGCTCACATGTCCTTTGGATTGCGCCACTCTTCGTTCTTACATTAACATGCTAATCTCTCACATTAACATAGCCACTTCCATGCCTTCGTCGAGGAGGCCGCTCTCCGTTCTTACAGTTACATGCTAATTTCTCACATTAACATCACTAGCCCCGCCCACTTCTTTATGACCCTTGGGCTACACCCATTTCAAACCTTTTTAAAACAGTCTGCCTCAGCAGCAGATCATGCTTTCCCACCCGATGACGGACGCTTGTGTTGCGCCCAAAACGTGATTTATTTTATTTTATACCTTCGTGACTTTACCGAAAGAACCAAAGAGAATGTATATAATGAATGCAACAACGCAAAATCCAATGAGATGGGTAGGAACTGCACACGGTGTTCATTTCCTTGCTGAAATTATCATTTCAATTGCACTGCGATTGCAAATTTATTACACATGACAAAAGCACAATTGGAATTGACTCCAGGTGTGGCACGGAACGGTCCGCTGGCCGGTGGCCACACTCACAGCTGGCTGCTGCAGACACTGCTGCACGTTCTCATCCATGAGCGTGCGCATCTGGCACAGCGACCGCGTTGGGAAGTTAGTGTAGAGCAGCGGGCTGTCTGCAAGCGGAAAATGAAAAAAAATCTCCAGTGTGCAACTGTGGTAAACCCAAAACAGACCATGGAACATGTGTAGCGTCGGAAATACATAGCACACACCGCCCTGTGTATACTTACCTGTAGTTGTGGCCACGAGTCTATAGGGGCTGCCACCCTGAGCTAGAGCTAAAAAGAGAGAGAGCTGGACCGTTGAGAGGCCGAGTTCCCCCCCCCGACCCCAGGTGAGGGGTTGGGGAGTTATTCCAGAGCCCCCTGGAAGGTTCCAGAAAGGGGGCGGTACCGGGGGCGGAGAGTCCCCGAGGGGTGAATAAAAGACGGACCTCAGGACGGCTTGGGGGAGTGCTCTAAAGATGAAGACAGAAGGCCAGCTAAGGCTAGGACCCTGGGACCCGCAGTCCTTTTAAGGGCCGGGGCCGAGCGCGTACCCAGTGGTCGGACCCACACCTTGGCTGGGCCGGGTCAGCGTAGCCTCCCTAGCTAGGACCCTGGGACTTCGGCACCCGACGTCCTTGTAAGGGCTGGGGCCGAGCACAGACCAGTGGTCGAGACCCGCACCTTGGCTGGGCCGGGTCAGCGTAGCCTCCCTAGCTAGGACCCTGGGACTTCGGGACCCGACGTCCTTGTAAGGGCTGGGGCCGAGCACGGACCAGTGGTCGAGACCCGCACCTTGGCTGGGTCGGGTCAGTTAGCCTCCCCTAGGTCACCCTTAGCTGGGAGACTCAGAGCCCGTAGCCCCAGTGATAGGGCACGTCAGCCCGGAGGCCATACCTCCTCAGGTAGTGGGAGTAAAGGGGGCTTCTTGTTAATATTTACAATAAACCGTGTTGCCTCTAAATACTACGTCTCCGGTCTCCGTGGAACCCACTACACATGTATCGACTCAATGCCTAATTCACAAATACAAAGGGAGGCATCATAGTGATACACTCTGCTACTTCGGATACATGGACGTCAGCCAATACGAAGAATGAGAAAGAATTTACTATAAATAATGGCCGAATGGTAGAGGGCCAGTGGCATTGCGTGGGTGGCATGGGCCCTACGTAATAAATGAAATAAGCGCCCCCCTCTACCTTCTCTTTCATAGCCTGCCAGCTGGGCCTATTCTGGCCCATAGGCCCCGGTACAATTGCACCACATGCACATTTGACAGCTACGCTACTGTGAAGGACATTGGCAATGTGCCAGGAAGCATTTATGCTTCTGAACCAATGACTCCAGTTGCATTAACAAAGTTTCTGCAAAAATATGAATACATTTTACCAAAAGAACCTAGAAGACATTTTATGTTATGGTGCTACGTGTTAAGCGACTGAAAACCACAATTTCGGTTATTATGAATGACATTCTAGGAATCATGACTTTAATTTTCAAGTTTATAATTTTAATTAATACAAGAGGTGGCATGTGTGCGTATTGAGGTCGCACCTTTAAGGTGAACGCTTTTCTCGACAAAGTTAACCCACGAATTGTGCTTCATATCTTGCGGTGTCAGCAGCAGCTCATCTTTTAAATACTACATTGATTCGACACAAAAAACACAAGTTGTGGTATTAACAGCAACACAAATAATGCATAAGATGTTTTGACCAAATACACATGAACACCATTGTTTGAATGCATAGTTTGCAAATTTGTATAAAATGGGTTGCAGGTTACCTGCCCCACACGATCAACGTTGAAGTATTTTCCTGTTTTTTCAAACAGCGTTGGTTCCTTGTGAAAGAAAATATTTAAAAAAACATGTTAATGCAATTTTATTCCACGGGTCATTTATTTGCTTGTTGCATTTGGGGAACGCATTGTGGGATAGGAGTTGTGATGATTAACATGGAGTTAATCCTCACCTTTTCGAAGTGGTCTTTAAGAAAGTTTGCGACAAACATGAGTTCCTTCTGGCTGACCTGTAACAGGAGGTGGCAGCGGATGATGTAAAAACTTTGGCTTATCTTCACGCTGGAATTGTGTTTATTTATCAGTTTTAACAGCACAAAGAGACATTTATATTGCAAAACACGACATTTGTGGCATAGAGCAAAATGGAGATTGCATTACATGGGAATGACACTTTACCTTACTCAGCTCTGGTGGGATGGTTTCATCTGACATATGCAGCATTGCTGATAAAAATAGAAATAACACAACTGTAAAACAGCCAAGCAAGGCATTGTGTGTAGTCACACATTTTTTTCAATTTTAAGAAAAGTTGCATACCGTAAGACTGATCAAGATATTAAAATATCAGCCTGCAATTATACAACGGTGTACTACTTTTGCACCACTGGCAGGGAGTTTTCTGCAAGAAACATACCCACGTAGAGGCAGCGGAAAAACGACTTGAAATTCTTCAAGCTGTTTTCAATCACACTGATGATAAAAATAATAATAAAGAGGACAAGACTGATCATGAGGTCCCTATGTGAAGCCATTGTTTAAAATTCACTTTCACAACATACAAAACAAATGCAATTCATGTGCGCTTAAATGTAAATGCAGAAAATTGTATGTGTCGAGACATGTTCCGTCAGGTGTAATCAATGGAGCTTCAGATTTTTTCTAAACATAAAAATGCATTAATCAAGCGTACAATGACAAAGGATCGAGTTAAAATTATGCCTATCGAAGGTGTACCCAGCTAATGATGCAAGTCACCCCATCATTGTACAATGTCTTGTCCTGAGATGAGATTGCATCGATACACTTAAAAAAAAATCTAAATTGCTATGTTTACCTTGTTAAATGTTATCTTGTTAAATGCACCCGTTATCTTTTTCCAAGGTAACTGGGGTTGGAAAATTACACTTATCTGTTCAAGGTCCTGTGTGTAAATTATGGTGATATGTATTGATAACTTACTGCAGTAACTCGTCTGCCTTGAGCATGTAGGAACCCACAATCTGGATGGCTTCTGTCAGAATTTTACATAAACATTCCATTAGCAACAACACAATTTCAATCACACCACAAAGTTGTCCAGTACACTGTAACTTGTTTGAACAAAACTAAAAAATACAGATGATCCCTGAAGCGGCTTGTTTTGGTAACACATTTTAATTCCTCACTGATAACGCACAAGGGATTGTAGTTATATAACAAGTACAAAGCTTAATAAAACTCCCACTAAAAGCAATCGATCTTTACAAACTGCCAAACGAGGTATGTGTCTATCTAACCTATATAAAAGTAAAAAATTGTCTGTTTGTGGTTTTGTGTGTGTTCGCGCGCTTGTGAAGGATTTGGCTCTCCAACGGTGGGGTTTATGTAAGTAAAAATAGCCATGTACAATGCCATAAGCTCCGCCGTGAGCAACCGCTATTCCTTTTTCACATCAGTCAACTTTTAATAAGTTTAATTAGCGATTTAGTGCGATTTTTTTCGCTCTATTTATTTATGACGCGTGCACGACCATACCAACTCACGAGCCTTTGGTGGGGGGTAGGCCTCGCCAAGGTAAGGTAATTTACCCTTTTTACCGGTTAAAAGGGTAAAGGTAAAGGTGTCGACATGCCAAGGGGTAAGGTAAAGGGGAGGGTAAAGGTAGCTCGGAAGAATTACCCGGTAGGGTAAAGGTAGCGCGAAGTATTACCCGGTAAATACGGCGCCTTGTTTACTGCTACAAGCTCCGTGGCTCAGTCCGTGGCCTCCATTTAATAAGTAATATTTTAAAAACATTTTTTTAAACACGCTTTTATTAAATGTACGAGTAATGGCAGAACTCCACGACTCCAGGAAGTGGCCCCGAAGCTTGCCACAACGTAAGGGGCCGTGGCCAATTACAGCCAACGTCAGTTGAGCGTGGACAATTAGACCCAAGCCGAAACATCACATATAAAAACTGTTTAAAATTATATTTTTTATGATAGAATATAGTATTGTCATTAGTATGACATAAGTATACCAAGTTTGCAGTCGATACCACATTAGGAAGTGGGTAAAAATTGAGTTACAAGATTTGAGGATATAACGACAACAACAAGCGTGTAAAATTGGAATCATCGACAGTATTCTACATGAATAAAGCGCTCTACCTAGCATTTACCGTTATAAACCTTGTTCATGTGTAGTTCCCTAGTAATTACCCTGTAATCGGGTAATTTTTAGGGGGTAAAGGTAAAAGGTAGGGTAAAGGTAGGCTCGTTGCTTTTTATCTTTTAATTTACCTGCTAAAGGGTAAAAGGTAGGGTAGAGTGATTGTATTGTGGCAAGGTAAAAGGTAGGGTAAAGGTAGGCTCGTTGTTTTTACCTTTTAACTTTTACCTTACCGAGGCCTAGTGGGGGGGACGGCCCATGCCAAGTCGCACGCCTTCGGTGGGAGTGAGGGGAACATTTTCTTTCGCGTTAAAAATGCTTTAAAAATACACTAAACGCTGAGCTTAAATCTTCACTGTGTGATGTCTCCCCCACCCCGATGCGTGCAGTTACTCATATATACAGTCGCTAGATGCTACCACTATAGGCCGTAGATATTACTGCAGAGCGGCCGGGGAGATCGTGGCTGGCGGGGGGGTCAGGGGTAGCAGCCCAGCTCCAGCCTGCCAAGGTGCCACCTCGGCCGGCTGGACAATCTAGGCGAGGCCGGAGGCTCTGCACGGGACTAGGCCTCACCACCCAACTCTGTCAGGTGAGTACTTTGTGCTATAGAGTCGATAAATATTGCTATAGAGTCAGCATGTACTACTGTAGTGATAGCAGGTACCACCATAGTCGGTATGCACTGCTGTAATCATAGCAGGTACCACCACAGTCAGTACGCACTGCTGTTAGATTTTTAAGAGTAGTTTTAAAATATGTTTTGGCCTGGGCAACGCCAGGTATATAAGCTAATCTATAATATAATTAAATATTTAGTAGCATTGAAATGTTTACTAAGGTCGTGAAAAAGAAAAGGCCATATTCCAGTTGTTTTGGTATAGGCTGTACCTAAACAGCCTACGACCAAATCACGTGGAATGCACCCGATCTCGGCAGATCTCGGCAGCTAAGCTGAGCTGAGCCTGGACAAAGCTTAGATGGTTGACCGCTATGAATACAACAGGTGTTGTAGGCTGCTGTGGAATTAGGTTGTCAGTAGAAGGCAGTACAACAAAATCAATGTTGTACTGTACTATGCGTCAACGGCTATGCTCCCAGCCATCACCAACCCATGTAGATCAGCATGATGACATATGGTCAAACAACTCCCTTGAACCGCATGGCAGGTGGAGACGACCCCCATCCAGCACTGAATTGACCAAAGGGCTGTACATGCACATAAATACATGAAACAATGTGCTCTGGACGAACCAAACGGCCGAGAGAATGTAAAAAAGTGGAGGCTTCTTACCCTCCACGGAGTCCTCCCGCAGACCCAGGCACCCGTACTTCTGTCGCCACATGGCCATGCCCTTCAGCTCCACCAGGTGGTAGAGAAGTGCATCAGCTCCACTGTGGGGTGACAATTACCTCTTTTTCCACTGGCACAAACAAGCTGCCCCGGGGCTCTGCAGAGCCAGCCCTGCATGGCACGGGAGGTGCCAGGTTAATTTTTTCCATTTCAGAACCCAAGCCTTGTCACTGACGTCGCAAGTTCCAAGTGTAATGACCGATTCAACATGTGACAAATATTACTAACCCTGCCCCTGGCCCTGGCCCTGCTTGGCCCTGTGCCAGATTCAAAAGTGCAAACCCCACCTCTGCAGGTGGCTGGTGAGAAGCTTCAAAATGCTGTAGTAAGACGATTCCACCTCATGACCCAGCTTCTTTAAGCCCTGCGCACATTCATACACAAATGCACGTCAGTGTGGCACATCATTGCTGTTGTGTATATGATCCTTGGTACCCCGGGGTAACAAATAATACTAAATGGCCGAGGCAATTAAATATTTTCTTTCTGGGACACTATTTTTTTCCAGGGGTGTACTTCACTCCGCGACTGGGGTACCAATCAATCTGAAATCAGTGCTACTCTGCGATGTCGAAACGCAGCAAGAGAACGATTGCGCTCAAACCCTGAATGCTCAATGCACCATAGTACATCGTGTACAGCTCGTCGAGATGAGTCGATTGCCGCATCGCCGACCATCAACAGACTAAAAACAACTGCATCACGGACATTATGCGAGAGCCGGGGTATTACGGTACCCCGGAGTACCGCCATAAGGTTCATATATCCCGTATGATGTGTCTATTTATTGTTTACTTAAACGCCATTTACACAGCACTGCTTTGTTGCTGTGCAATGGTCACACGTGTATAGTTTATTCTTACCTTCAATGTGAGTTTGTTTAATAGCAGCATCTGGAGCTCAGGGCTGTAAAAATATAGAAACATTAAATTTCAACTTCAATGTCTTTTGCAATTCTATGCCCGTAAATCTAAAACACGGAGTCTAGACAAAATAGGCGAGGTCTCTCTTCACGAGCTTTATGATACACCACCTTTGTGCATTTTACAGGCTTGCACTTTGGCAAAAGCAGTGTTAAGATTTCGAAGCCAGCCACATACGATATTACATGGTCTTTTACAACACACCACACCAGACGATCAATGACAGAGTAGAGAGCCCGGGGGATAGGTGACCACCTGGGAATTGGCCAAACATTCCGTTGCAAGACCCTCTTGAAGACGAGTAAAGAAACAACTTACGGAGGCTTTTATAGGAAAACAAAAAGGCATTGGATATTACCTGGCTGTTCCCCACATCAGCAGCTCCATGAACTCATTACTCACAGAGGTGTCAGGGTTCTCCTGTGAAGCCAAAGAGAACGTTTTTTTTGTTCAACTCAAGCCAGAATTATAACAAAAACATATTTGGATTCTTTATCATGTATGTTGAACTTATTTTGCCCCATATGTAGCCAAATGCGCTCATCGAAGGTGTGGGATAACACTCCATACCCTACTTATAAACTAGCGAATACATTGTAAAGCAATTTTCAACTTTATTTTCAGTTATTATGTGCCATCACTTCACCGTCTCACACCAACCAGCGTGAAGTATGGTCAACCCCCCCCCCATGACCAAGACAGCATGGGGAGGTCTTTATCCAGCAGTGGAATGACATTGGGTTGTACATTATTATATCGTCTGAAGAACCATTTCAGCAACGAGCTATGACTTACTACAGATGTCTGTCCGTCCCGTGCGTGACGTCACTCCACACGAAGCCCCCCCGCGTGACGTCACTCCACGAGGCCCACCCCCTGCGTGACGTCACTCCACATGAGGCCCACCCCCTGCGTGACGTCACTCCACGAGGCCCACCCCCCCCCGTGTGACGTCACTCCACGAGGCCCACCCCCCCTCATTCATATTCATGAGTGGATGGATTTTTACACTAACGCAGAGGAAGGTCGAGCTAAATTAAATAATTTATTACGCAAAGTCGCTTCAAATATGACGTTTCTTTACAGAAAAGGTAAAAAGGAAATCTACGCAGCACATTGCTACATCCGTGTGTGACGTCACTGCATAAGAGCCCCCCCCCCCTTCATTAATATTCATGCCCGCGTGGAAATTTACACTACCGCACAATTAGGTCGCGCACTCCACATGCCGCACCCCTCCACAATAACCATTAGCGGGTGACGTCACTCCACATGGGGCAACCCCCCCCCCCCTCATTAATAATCATGAGCTGAACAATTTTTCTATTGAATATTTCAGATTTACTGTAATATACACCCCGTCCTTGGACGGACAAAAAAGATAGTTCATAATAACTGTCACGGCCAAGGTTGCAATGATATTGGTAATACTAATGTCTGCATATCTTAATCTGTTCCACAACCTCTAATGTAAACAAAATGATAACATTAAGTTTGGTATTTAATAAAAAACTGGAAAATGTTCAATACAAAAAATATATATAAGCAGTGTTAAGTTATGGCGCACACCGTTTAAATTTTTTGTATCAAGCATAAATGTTTGAGAACCACAACACACCCTCCACTCCTACCTTGACAAAGTTGGTGAGTCCCATGTCCATTTCAATGAGCACGTCCTCCCATGCCCCACTCATGCTCTGCACCGTCAGATATTGATACTGCACACGACACACGCATTCAAGCTCGCATTTGTGACGAATTAGCAGGTTCTGTTTACGGGACAACCCTTACTAGTTGGCTGTGTTGGGTGGTGGCGGGTTTAACGTCACATTTATATATTTTTACGCGATCTAACCCAAAAAACCTCTAATATGGGTATTGGTCACGAAAGCCTACGTGTTATACAACAATAAACACCGCGAGATGTTCTGCCCAGCGTGAAAGAGTCAACCAAATGCATGTGAGAGGGGCTCTAAAGAGCTCCCGCCAGTGGAGGCCATTCCGACAGCAGTGACGTGAGCAATCTATTACAGGACTGTACTTTTACTTTTCACACAGCGAGGTTCAACTGTTTAATTGTTTGTCACTGTTTAAATCCACATTTTATCCCAATTGTGCCATCTGTCATGTCATGATGAAGAATGCATTTTTGAATCTTCTAGCACAGTGCAACCCCATATTCGAGTAAAGCATATTCCACAGAACTGTCTAACTACTCCAGTGACCTCTTATCCACACAAGGCAGCACTTTCTCAGCTGCCTTGCTAAAGACATTAATATTCATTACATGACAGTAAAAAATATTATTTTGAATTCTCAGAGCTGGTATTTAGCCATATGAAGAGCAAAACCAATCTTTCGAGGCATTTTTTGTGCGAGTAGTTATTGGTGACAGGACTCAAACCATGAACTCACTCCATTTAACACATTCCTGCGGAGGGAGCTGGTAGGAACATTGGGTTGCTTGGTCAATGGCCAGGGTCAACGCGGCGTGGTGTATTCCGCAAATATGCCCGACTGTGAGGGCAGGCACAAGCCGGCGTGAGTAGGTTAAACGTTGAGTTTTATAAAGCAACCACGGGGTGACCATCCCCTCCCCACCCAGTCCCACCCCCCACCCAGTCCCACCCCCTCCCCACCCAGCCCCTCCCCACCCAGCCCCTCCCCACCCAGCCCCTCCCCACCCAGCCCCTCCCCACCCAGCACCTCCCCACCCGGCCCCTCCCCACCCAGCCCCTCCCTGCCCGACGGACGGACACAATAATCCCCTGTGGGCTGGTGTAACCAGGAGGTTCCTACCAGTAAGAACCCACTTTAATCAGGAGCAGCTGCCCAGGGATAAAACCCATAATTTCAGCAATGACAACTCAGTGAAGTTCAACTGCTGATGACTTACATGGAGGAGAGCTGATATGTGGGTGAACTTCCTCGCCATTTTTGTGACCTCTGGCAGATTGGCAGCCAGAAGACTCGTATCCCACTAAAGACCGGGGATACACATTTACACATGAAACAAGACAACAGATTCAAACAGAACTGAAGTATAGACACTAATTACCACATAAGTCACAATTGTCTTGCCAAATCAATATATCCATTTGTAGACGATGAAATTATGATTGTCATCAAAATTGCTCCATCCACCACTGGATGAAGGCTTCCCCACATTCCACATTAATTCCATCCCTCTATCCCGGGATGCCACAATCCATCTCACTCCTGTGCATGAGCTCATCTCAATTGCCTCGTATTCGAGGTGTTCGTTCACTCAGATGTGATGGCTCCTTTGGCTGCCATTTCATCACCCGTCTTGGCCATTTTATATCACTCCTTATACCAATGCATCATGCCAAAGCCCACTGGCAGTGAGAAGACTTATGCCTCACAGGAAAGAGGGCCTCCGTTCGATTTTAGTTTTTGGCGCTTTTCTGTGTGGAGTTATGTTCTCCCTGTGTCCTGCGACTGATATTGATGACACATCCTATTGCTGAAAATGATCTGCGACGTACTCAATTAAGAAACGTAAAGCAACATTTTCCCCCTGCTGAAAAAGCTTGGCAGGACCCCTCCAGGAGAAAATAAGATTATCGAGACTCAATAGCATTTTCCTTGGTAAATAGGCAAAAAAAATAAAAAAAATCCGGCTGCATATACATTCAATGAAAAAAATATATATTTGAGAGGGTGAAACAGTACCTGAGAATAAATGATATTGCAGTGGGATTCGTCCACAGTGCTCGTCTTTTTCACTGCTACAGAGAGGGCCTTTAGGTCGCTGGAGAGACACAGGTGAAGGCACTGGCCCTCACTCTGCATATAACCACAGCACAAACGTCAGTTTTGTTACCAAAGTTGTATGTCCAAACCACGCATGTATTCATTTGTTTTAAACAGTTTTACACAATCCTGCACATGGCAGTGAATGCTCACTCCCCTCGCATAAAACAACACTGTATGACGAAGAGAACAAGACTGCAACTCGATGCGAGTACCATGTGTGTGCATTAAAATTTTTATCTTACCTTGATCAAAAGACTTGCGATTTTAAATATTCCAAAGGCATAAAATGCAACAACTCCATGGGAACTTCCAAGTACTAAAATGTTGAGCCTACAAAATAACAGAAAGTGTTGTATAATTTAATTGAGCGCACATACTTTCAGAATACCCATCGCCAAATAAGAACCATTTCAAATGTTAACAAATATTGGTAAAATCTCTAGAGTGATAACAGTCGAGAAAAATGACGTAACCTGTATCACATTACAGTAAGAGAAAGACTTGTTTACATACCTGGAATCACCCAATAGCCTTTGAATATCAGAGTTCTCTTCACTGCGAAAACAAGCACAGCAAATTTACAAACAAGAGAAAACCAGCACTCTACAGAAATGAGTCCAGTAAGCCACTTCACATTAAATTCCATTCATCAGTTGAACACAATGAAATGAAAGGTACCAAAACTCAATTGTGCCAAGGCCAGTGATCTTACCTCTTAGGCAAAGCTGGCAGCTTTGACAGGTAAACAGTGTGATCGTCCTCAAACAAATTAAACTCCGGACTGGAAAAAATATGGTACAAACATCTTGCCATTCACATAACTGCAGCAGTGAAAAACATATTTAGGCAGAAAAGTATACAGTTTGTTGACTAATCATAAGACTGTACAATCAATGGTTCTTACATTTTGTTTGGAACTACAATTTAATTACAATGACTATCAAATGCATTCATACGTATTTTTTTAGTTTAATCCGTAACAAATACAATATGTAAAAAGCAGTATTTTATATCCTAATTTTCCTAAATATTTCAACAATTATAATCATTATCCATGATCAATCCACTTCTGGATTGAGTCTTCCCCAAGTCATCTCCATCTCTCATGAAACGTCGATGCACCAATCCACGAGCTGAGCTCATTGCTCCATCTGCACAGTAGACATCCTCTTGAGTGTGTTCCCTCTTTTGGTTGCCACTAAATCATTAGGCCCGACCACCAGTTACATTCCCTCCTTGTGACATGTCCTGCTCAAGCAAACTTGAAATTGATGTGCCCCCTTTTAAAAGACCGACTCGAAATGCAAAAGTCACCATACCTGCTTTCCTGTTTCACCTCCACCCAGTGCATACAGGTGACCCTGTGCAATGCACGGCACGTGTGCAGGATCTCAGCCTTCTCAACATCACACAGCACCAGTCGCTCGGTATCTCCGTAACTGACTGCCAACACTGTGTGGGCAAATGGCATATCTTCATGAAGAAGTGAGGCAGCTGGGAATATGAACACTCATGACAACAATTTGGGACACACCAGCCTATATTAGGACTGATTTAGACTATGTTCCCATTACCATTGTCAAACTACTAATTTATTAAAATGTGGCTTGGTGTGCCCCATAACTTGCTGCCATAGTCCATGAGATCAGACAACCACATGAGGTTGCAAAACTTTAGTGGCCTCCAACCAACCATGGAAGATACAAATACTTGATACGCAAATGTAAAAATGTCCGGTGTGCAACTGTGGTTACCCAGAACAGACCCTGGAACATATAACGACTCAATGCCCAACTCACAAATACGAAAGAGGCATGACACTCTGCATTTAACCATTTGAAATGAGTTACCAAATAATTCACTGTTATTGGCCAATTAAATATAGATTTACGATTTAAGGTTTTCTAGCTCAGATGGTACCGATTTCTGCTCTGGCCCATGGACTATCATGAGAGCGTACGCTCATGCAAGGAATTGCTGAAATTTCTGCAAAATTGCACCGGCAGAGAAAGCTGCCGATATTGTGATCACATGGAAGCCAGTTTCATTTACACGTCTTCTACCTTTTCCATCTGGCCTCCAAGCCAAGGCTGTGACTTCACTGCCCGTGGAGTCATTTGGTGGCAGGCCCCAGACCTTCTGGCAGTTACTGAGCCGATGCAGCAGCACCTGACCACATGCACACACACAAATATAACTACACCAAGAGACACTGAGGCGCGAGTAGCGTATTTACATACAGCTGGGATGATTCGTTGGTCAAGTAAATTAATCAACTATTTATTTTATGGTTGATCACTCAGGCTCCTTTAAATTTCTGTTTCCCCAACATCCTAATGGGACCGTTGATGACGATGACATTACAAAGCACCGCCCATCACCTCCTGTCCAGGGACAACTATAGAAACATAGCAAAGACTTTTTTCCCCAACTATTGCCATTTTATTCAAACTAGTAAAGCAATCGGACCGATAATCGCTCATGTAATCAGTTTCTCACGTAATCGCAATAGCCCAGCTTTAATGTAAAGTAGCTGTACATAACAACTGGAAAGTTAAATATTTCTGCTACAAATGGGCAAAATAAGAAAGTATGCCTGAATGTATGTTGAACTTACTTTACACCGTACGTAGCCAACCGTGCAAATCAGAGGTGTGGGGGAAAGACAACAAACTAACACACAAAAAAATAAGTTAACAATCTAAAGAAATTCGTTTTCAATGTTAAGGGATGCTTCGCAAACACACGAATGGCGATGTGTCTAATCCCCACCTCGCCAGAGCGGCTGGCCAGGCCGATGAGATCGCGTTTGGGCGACCAGCACATGTGCAAGATCTCGGCTGGCAGCTGCTTCTCGGCCACCTGGCGAAAGGACGGCATGATGCTTCCGCCTGCGGGTCACAACCAACGGGTGGACAAAACACGATCGGCAACGACGCAAATACAGCAATGATAGAGAAATAAATCGCTCTTAGTTATTACCAACCAACAGACCAGCATGGCCTGGTGGTAGCACGGTGGCCGTCTATTGCTCAAATCCAGCGGCTGCCCTGGTTATTATTGCCAGTCTACTAACCAACACGTGCCAATGTGCTTCACAGTGGCAGTTAAAGATCCTGTGATGTCTTTAATTGGATTTGGGCCATTATGTGCTGGCGTCATGCTGCAAATTTGAAATATTACCACCAAAAATGCTTAAATGGAAAATACATAGCATTCATCACATCCTGCAAAAAATTGGCATCATGGGCCTCCGCGAGACGTTCTTGATTAAATAGCTATAAAATATAAATAACAATTGGCATTACAAATATATATTTTAAATCAGTGTTATTGGCGAATTAACGACGTCCATTTGGCCGAACTGACGGTATCAGTTGTGCTTAAGGTAAACACGAACATTGATTTTACTGCCCTGCTTAGCAACTGCCCACCACTTAGCCCGGGCACCAACCTGACCGTGCGTTGGTGGTCGCCCATCCAAAGGCCCCACCACCATGTCCAGGGCTCGACCCTGGCCCTATTCAACACTCAAGCCTCGCATTCTGGCCGACTGGCTCACACAACATGCCGCTTTACATCCAGTGCTGGATTATTCTAGTGACAAGAGTAGCTTCAGATGCTACGGGCCCCGTACTTTCAAGGGCCCCCGCGCTAAATGCTTTCAAGCTATCAATTCCGGTTTATTGATTCTGCATTTGCTCTATTACTATAGTACTATACCGCCTTCGACTTTTATGAACGACTGGGTGTTTAAGGTGAGCGCTTTGTCGTATTATCTGGCTGAATAGCAAATACACAAATACAATTACTTGACTATGAAAAAAATTGTGTTCTAATATTTTATTTTATTTAGGGCCGCTTTATAACATACGCTACAGGCCTCGCACCAACTTAATCCGGCACTGTTTACATCACATCCCACGTCGCGCTTAAACGAGACCGGACCGCGCTAGAAACCGTGGCCTATGATCGTCTTCGCATTTGGACGAATCGACACAATCGTCCGTGTTAACTTATTTAGCACCGTACGTCGTCCGGCCGTGCTTTAAATCGCAAGTGCGGGTGAGGACAACGAACTAAACGCGAACTGCTTATTGTTGTCTTTGGTTCGTTGTCCTTCCCCGCACCTCCGATGAGCACGGATTGGCTACGTACCGTGCGAAAGAAGTTCAACATACGTACATCGAGTTGCATAACATCAAAAGCCCCACATGTGCACGGCTTAAACCCCCTTGGCCTTGCGTTCTGGCCGACCAGCTCGCGATAGCCCGCTCCAAAGGACGAGACCCCAGACCATGTTGGAAGCCGTCGCTTACCGACGTCTTCGTATTGGTCGTCGCGTTCAATTCGTGACTTGGCGCGCCAGCGACGGAGGGCTTACGTTGGGGTTACCCCCGCGGTGGCGGCTGTCGCCCCCGAGCGCTGCAGCCGAGGCCTGAAAATGTGTGTTTCCCGCCCTTTCACTTCTCTAGGGGCGTGGCCACGGTGGACGTGACGTCACGGCAATCTGAGCCAATCGCCGCGCACTCTTGCGGCGCCACGTCACGAAAGAGGGCGTGGCTAAAGGTGGGCTTTAAACTTTTGCGTGGGAAACGATAAACTGCCCCCCCCCCACCGCCATCATTGTCCACCTCCACGTGGTTTTGTACAGTCGGACAATCAATTATATTTATAGTGGAGGAATCCGTTGAGCTATAAAGCTCTTTTTCACAGACGTCCAGTCGGGGCGGGTAAGAACGTTACAATAACAAACAGTACAAACACACGATAGAGGTGCAAAGTCCAAGAAAGATAAACAAATCACCCTAAACACATCCAAATACAACGAAACCATCCCCATCCTACTAGACAAAGGCCACTGAGGTACTTACTTAGTGTTCAAATGTGACCTGGCCACAAATGATAGCTCAACAAAGTGGCTTATCATTTGGACATTTATTTCAGCAAAATAATCTAAATAGTCTAATAATGTAGGACCCGCATCGAGCAGAGGGGTGCTGGCGCAAAACACAATCAGCAGTTCACCAGCGATGGCTGAACAAGATTGACTTTCTGACGAGACACCGAGTTGAATAAATGCTCATGAAATAATGCACTGTCAGAGAAGGCCGTTGGTAAATGGATGTGTAAAAATATATTTTATGTGGAGGGAGACAAATGGGAAGGAGGCATATTGTCTGCTTATTTATTTCATAGCGTATTGAGATATTTTATGTAATAAAACTAATGTGCAAGTCCCAGATTATCGTTTTTTTAATTCCACTTTACGTTGAGAGACAGAAAGAGTGGCACATGGATCAGGGAATAAACGCAAATCGGAGATATTGACTTAAAAGGAGTGGGTTAGTCGGTTCGGGTAGAACACATCCCGAGGGAAGTTAGCAAATGGACGAGGCAAGGAATGAAGAGAAGGCGCCCGTGAGCACGACCACCACAGAGATGGAGCAAGATCAGTTTAAGTACAAGGGATGCATTCATTGTGACATCGCATAACCACGAGGAATGGCAACAGCATGGAGAGTAGGTCTTACTCCAGCAGTGAATACACAACGGCCGGTTGATGATTGGAATTTGAAATTACCACCAAAATAACAAACACTGAACTGTTGTTGTTATCATCATGCCCAGTAACTGGTGAGAAAGCTTGACTTGCAATCGCAAAGTTTCGAGTTCAAATTCTGGTTGAGGGTCAACTCAGGCAATCAGTTCCCCAAGGTAGATGAAATGAGTGTCACTGTGGATAGGCAAAAGTGGTTATTGGCATTGAAATACTGGCCTTATCATAGGAATGTGGAATTTTCATCAATGGCTTAGGTCTGGCAACATAGATCAGTGCTGTCCTACGCTCGTGTGTGCATACACTCTTGCTTTACTTGGATCCTGACATCTAGCAGTGAAAAGCTCATGGCTGATGATGATAACTGGTAACATGCGAGCATCATTCAATGCTCGTTTTATATGGGGACAACTTCACTTTTTAATACAAAAAATTACACATTTTGAATACACGTTTTATTTTTAAATGTCTACATTGTTTCCATTAAAACAAACCGTACTACACTTCTAGCAAAGGACAACACATTGCAGAAGCCATATATACAATATTCCAATATGACCTAATATTCAGCTCCAAGAAATATAAATGCTGTACCATAATATAAACTCCATGCATCAACACATGACTCAAATACTGTACCACCCTTAGGTGCAGTCAGTATGTGCTTTGCTGTACTACCCGTGAATGCATTTCATAATTATCATTCTACTACGATACATACAGTACTGATATGATCACTGAGTACAACAGTGAACAGTTACATAAATTCGAATTATATGTCTTTTAATTACTGTAATTCAATTAAGATGCATACTGGCCCCATGTCCAATACTATAAGAACATACCATATACTGTATGAGAATAGGTTTTCCCCTTTTTTCTGGCAACAAAACAGGTGTTAAGATGTTAAAACACCAAACTGAAACCTTTTACAAGGAATCATGTCTGCATTAACCACAATACTTGTGGTCAGAATGCAAACAAAAAACATACTCTGATAGTATATGCATTGTCTTTGAAACTGATTGGTCCACACCAGAGACAGCTTTCTTTCGAGCCTAGTCTCAAACGGTGTTAGACCAGAGGACGCATTCTGACCACAAGCATGCAATGCAGACATGATTCCTTGTAAAAGGTTTCAGTTTGGTGTTTTAACATCTTAACACCTGTTTTGTTACCAGAAAAAAGGGGAAAACCTATTTTCATATTTTGGTACTGGCAAAGGAGGCCCCATAAAACATACCATATAGAACATATAGTGTGAGGACAAACTGCAAATAATAAGTTCAAGTTCTTTAAAAAAAGACAACCAAAGTATCATTAACTCTAGATTTCACAAACCATACATTGACCATTCAACATACAGAAGAAAATGCTTACAATTGGAGAGCGTACGTTTGAGAAGGATTAAATGACAGAATTTGTATTTATTTTCAAGTGTTAAATTCTTCCTTGCTTCAGCTGACGTTCAACCTTTTAGACAAATAACACCTTACGATATATTATTCCAAACGTCATATGTATCATAAAAGGTCAGAGTCTGGCATAAAAATCACGCTTAAGAATGCATTTATTGCGGTCATAGGGTACTAAATATATAATTATCGTCACGGTGACATTACACGGGAAGCACAAGAGGACTGACTGAAAGCTGAATGTGGTGGTAGTATCTGAGAAAAATACGGTTGATAATTTCGTACGTGTCTCCACGGGCCTTGACTGGGAATACGTGGTCATCCAGCACAAAGCTTTTCTCCAGCTGGAAGCAAGGCGTTGTCAAAGTCGCGTTTGTTAAAAGGCTTCTCGTTGTGCACACAGTCGGTGAGAGTGGACACAAACATCTTCCAGCGAGGCGCGTAGTAGTAGCTCACCAGACCGCCCCACAGCTTGTTGGCCACATCCAACCGGTTTCCCGTGGGACCCCAAAGGGTGATCTGGTAGCGAGCATTCAGCTGGTACAGCTCAGCCTCGCTGGCGTTGTCTGAATGCGCGGCGGCTGCGAGCAGCCAGCGTCCCAGCAGGAAGCGCTCGTCGCTCGATAGCAGATTCTCCAGGTCAGGAAAGAGCTCGTAGGAGAGCATGCCACCGGACAGCAGCAGCTCCTCCACCGAGCCACCCTCGTAGGCCGTGAGGAGGTCACGGTAAAGCTGCCCCGACAGCACCTGCAGCGCCTGCCGGGTCACGTCGATCAGGTCGTAGCGGAAGGTCAGGCTGGCGCCCAGCCGAGGCACGGCCCGTACCAAACGCGCCCAGGCGGAGTAGACGAGTGCCGGGTCGTACCACAGGCTGGTGTCGAGGGTGAGCGAAGGCCGGACCACCAGGGGACTCTGGTTCCTGTTCTCCCGCTTCTCCGTGCAGTTGTAGACGCTGCGCCAGAGGTCCTTCCAGGCCGCCGCAACATCCGCATCTTTCTGGCCGTACCTGCGGTGCGCGTAGGACTCGATCCAGATCGTGAGGTCCACGGGCCCATCTCGCCAGCCCATTTCAGCCATGAGCTCATAAACGACGTCGTTCTGCTCGATGCCCTCCGGTGCCATGCCCGTGCCCACCATGCTGGAGTTGGGAAGGAGCCTGGCGACGTGAGGGCCCCGGTTGACGCTCTCAATGGCGCCGAACAAGCCGTGGTTGCCTCCAAAGTTGTGCAGCATGCACCAGATGAATGGTTGCCCATAAAAGGAGCCGGTGGTAAGGTGGAGGGGGCGCGTCTCGGCGAAGACGTCCAGGACGAGCATGCGGCCTAGCGGCGGCCCGCGCAGGAACGCGCGCAGCTGTGGCTCCTGCCAGAAGTTGGGGTTGCCCAGGAACGGCCACGTGTCCAGCAGCCACACAGCCTCGCTGTCCACTGTTGGGGAGGGGTAGAAGGGGCGGGGGTGTGGCATAGCGCAGGTCACGTGCTCGATTTAAACGTCACAATGCCCAGTGTCTCGTCTCGTTAACACAGTGCCACGCGCGTGTTAATGAGCAGAGTCCCCAGCCTACCCGCAGTCATTGCCTTGTAGACTGCTCTGCTGATGCCCGCGAGGTCGGCGGTCAAGTTGGAGGGTGGCATCAGCTCGCTGAACATGGTCGCGTAGTACGCGTGGTCGCTGCCAAACTCGTCACGCAGCTCCTTCATGTAGGCGCTCGCGAGTTTGGGGAACAGCGGGTCGTGGGGGTCCAGCCACAGCGGGCAGGAGTAATTGCAGTCAAATCGGTCCCAGCTGCTCAGCTGGATCAGGTTAGCCTTCGGATACAGGCTGGCGCCGCCGATGATGCAGAGAGGACCGAGGAAGTTGAAAGGAAGGGTTGGAAAGAGAACAAGGCAGTCAGGAAGCAGTGTATCGTGTTCTGACTGTGGATATTGACATTTTTAAGTTAATGACACATTTTTTGTATAATCATAGTATACTTTTGGTTGGACTGAGTGTTATTTTGTGCTTTTTATGTTCCCGTATATTTTCACAGTGGATACGATTACAACAGTTAAGACGAGCGCTTAATTTCTCGGTTAATATTTTATCAGTCGCTGGTGGACTGGAACAGGTATGGGACTAGTAGTCGCAGCCATAGCAAAAGGTATACTGGATGTGGTGTGTTGGATTCGGAAATATTTCCCAGTTAACGAACACATAGACAAACCTGGATCAAATTAAGTCTCTATTAAGACTGTTTTTTCCTTTATAATCGTTAAAATTGCGATTAAGTTGCCTCCATTTCAGCAATATGAACGTTTGCCTTTTGCAGAGGGATGATTCAAATTCATTCATCCATGATCATCATTTTGTAATTATCAGAAAGAAAAAAACCCATCATACATCATTGCAGTTGCAGCTTCGTGTACGAATTTGCACAGGGGAGACGAATTTAAATGTCAGACTAGGCTCGCAAGCAGTGACTGCTGAAATACAGCCAATCGGCCATATCCACAGCGGTGACGTGATGTTATCAAGGCTTTCAGCTCAAAGTTGTGTTCGACAGAGGTAATGAAGAAAGCAGGGTGTGATGGTCACCGTGCGACAGCTGCAGGGACATAGCCTTCGAAAGCCGGGAGCACCGTAATCATTCCCAGGGACCTCATCCGCTCCAGGATTTTGCGCTGTGAGCAGAAGGATAAGTCACATCACGTTTATTGCAGTATTTCAGCTGATGGTAGAGCAGTGACACGGTGTTTAGTGCAATTCCCCCGTACGAATAAGCCCAAAGGACCTGTGTTCAATTCCCAATCAAGGCTAACATCAGTGGCGAGTGATCGCTGAAGAAGTCCTGGGGTCCTCTTTCGCCAAGACCTTTCCCCGCACTTCTGATTAGCAGGGTTGGCTACGTACAGTGCGAAAGAAGTTTAACATACATACAGCCGATGAGCGTCGTTAAGTTTCGTCAAACAACGCTCCAGGCTGACATGGAATGGGGAGGCCGTAACTCAGCACTGTAGTGAAAAGAGGCTGTAAATTTCAGCTGAAAATCTGCATTTACATTTTTGTAAATACAATTGTATTATTCAGGTCCAACACCTGGAGGTGTAGTTGCTTGTGGTGCCAAGACTGGGGCAGGGGTCCAGCCCAGGCATGCAGGTTTCCCAGCTGAGACCACGCCAGGAAGGCAGGACCTGTGAAGTAGTCGTCCATCTCCTTCTGAGTGAGTCCCAGGGACAGGAAAACCTGGCACAGGTTGTGGGTGGAGGGTTGTGCATGGGTAGAAGAGAGATGTAATTATATCAGATGTATTATAATATGGAAGAGGACATTACTGTACTGACATGTGATCTGCCACATAGTGTTTTGCA